AACTTGAAATGTTTAAAATATTAGGTTAACACAGAAATCGTTAGGTTATGTTAGTCACCAGGAGCTGTCTATATAAACTAATCCAAACTTACGATATGGTACGTAAATATTTGGACAATAAATAATAGATAATTGTCCCAATATTTATGTATCAATAGGACAATAAATAATAGGTAATTGTCTTGAAATTTACGTTCCATATTGTAAGTTTGCTATAATTTATTGTAAGTAAGCTTCTGGTGACTCTAACGTAACCTTACGATTTCTGGACAGTTACCTATTATTTATTGTCCTAATATTTACGTACCATATTATAAGTTTGGATTAGTTTATACAGACAACTCCTCTAACATGACTCTAACATAACCTAACGATTTCTGGACAATTACCTATTATTTATTGCCTTAATATTTACGTACCATATTGTAAATTTGGATTACTTTATATAGACAGCTCCTGGTGACTAACATAACCTAACGATCTCTGTTTTAAGCTACGCGTTGAAATGTTAGTGGTCAACCTGATATTTACAACAATCCAAGTTTAGGTTAGACCTGAGTTGACCCTGCTGCAGTCATCGAGACATTTCTGTCATTGTAACAATTTGTATTCTTATCAAAAATATATATTAAAACTATCACGAATATATTTATGTTCCCTTGACAGTACATCAAAATACCATTGTTCCTAATCAAATAGTATGCTAATAATGTAAAAATAAATCAGATACAATTAAATGATAGAAATTAATCATCACAGTGAAATATTCCAAAACTATGACCATTCCAGCAGAATTAAGGCTAGTATATCAATTTTGAATTTTTGTCTTCTTTGTTTTATTTAAGCTTTACACGTACCTTGTTTCTTTCACCCTCATTATTTAATATCTCAACCTATGTATTCACCAGTATGCTATTCATTGTCTTACTTAGTCAACATATTTGCTAAAAATTCCCCAATGGAATTGATTGTAAATTTAGTGATGTAATGAAAAAACAAAAAAAACATGTACCTTAAAGTGTGTTGTGAATCATCAACATAGATTCAGTATGTTGAACAGGTGGTTCCACTTTACAGTTAAAATTAGAACTAGAACCCTAATTCCTATAGAGATAACCTTACGATTGGTGGCTCACTGTCCCGGTAGTCAAATTGGAACCGGTCTCCACCCCTGAAGCAATGCTAACGCAGTTCCGGGGTGGAGTTGTGAAATGGATGGCAGAATGAAAAACAGTCTGACTTATCAAACCCAATGTTTTTTTTTTAACCTACGCGTTGAAATCTCGATAACAAACTCATCGTCCACTAATATTTAAGATATAATTAGAAGTTTGGGTTAAGACTGGGTTATTTTGGATCACCAGACCCTGGTAAACCTAACAAAACCTAATAATACCTTTTTAAAATTAACCATCGAAACGTTAATGACCAAAATCCCCAGCCACATTAAAAGTTCGAAATTGTTTAAATATTAACAACGCGATAAAATTCCAGATCTCGGTTAGATCGGTGTTAGTTCTATATTGAGCACTGAAACGTTGATTAGAGCCAGGGTTGCGACGTTCTTTAAACTTAGGGGAGCAACAGGTGTCAGAAGAATCGTCGTCATCTCTTACAAAGCGTCCCGACGGGCGTCGCTACGACGAACAGTCAGAACAGGGGAACATGAATCGAAAAGAGGTTTCAAGCGTCGCAACGCTTCGCGAACTTTATTTTAAGTTCCTCGCCCTATTAGAGCGTGGGTGGTTTTGTATCTAGAAACGCCCACAATGGCTGCGTTTCTGCATTATACTGATACAATATTGATTAAACGACGCCTACAGGGTGTTTCACAATAAAAATAAAATTAAATTTTCACATAACAAGAATCAATAATTTTGGACGTAATTTATTTATTTATTATTACTTATAATACATATAGATATATAGGATGATTCATTTACGTCGAACCACCTGAATATTTTCAAAACTGTTGATGATATAAAAAAATGTTTTACGTGAAAATCGAAAGGTTTCGAGAGCCACATAATCTGATCTGAGTAAGTTTTTCCTATGTGGACGGGTAAAGGGCATACGAAGGTCAATTTTGTTTTCTTAAATGGAATTGTATATTTTTTAATACATCATTTGGTGCAACTCGTCATTCCCGAAACAAAACTACTAAACTATTTATGACGAATAATGATCAGTTTTGAAAGTATTTTCATTTTACTATACTATTAATGCTGTACTTGTAATGCCACCACAATATTACAATTAAAATATTTTCTAAACTAATTTGCGTAGGAAATTACGAGTTGCACCAAATGATGTATTAAAAAATATGTGATTCTATTTAAGAAAACAAAGTTGACCTTGTATGCTCTCTATGCATTCACTTAGAACAAACTTACTCCCGTCAGATTACGTGGTTCCCGAAACCATTCAATTTTTATCCGAAACACTTTTTGGTATCATCCACAGTTTCGATGATATTCGAGTGAATCGATTCAAATGGGCCACTCTGTATTTCCTGATATAAGTCTTGTGTTGAATTGACAGTCGACAGTTTATGAAATCCACGGATCAAATTATCAAAATAATCCTGATGACTACGTATATGTTGAATACAAGGAAACGTCCACTTTGTATACTCCGACGAAAAATATTTCTGTTGAACTGTTTAAACCCAATTATTTTCTCGGTGTATTCAGGATAAAAAAAATGCTCACTTTGTACACTTTAACAAATAATTTTTGATTGACGAGTTCGACGAGTGGCTGTAGTTTAGACGCGCATAAAGAGGGCGTTAAAATTGAATGGCTGTAGGAAAAAAGGTATCGTCCATATATTGCCATAAATCATTCAGGAGCCTGAAACGAAACGAACTGCTTGTAATTCACGGAACATCGGTAGTCGTGTGGTTGGTATACGTGTAAGAACCGCGGAGGAGAAAAAGGTGGGAGCAAGAGGAAGGTAGAGGAAAAGACAAAGAAGGAAAACTGGAGGCGTAATGACGAGAAGGGAGGGAGAGGGGACAAAGCGGAAGAGAACGGCGACGTGATCGAAGCGGAGATACAAAAGGAAAGGCGAGGCACGAGCTGCTGGTTCGTGGACACCGTGGAGCTATGGGAACCCACAGTGTGAAGGCATGTGTTGTTTTCTCGAGGTCATTTGGAGGACGTGTCCGCGGCTTTGATTTGCCTGTCGAAAGGAAATCGCTCGTGCTGAGCTCTTCATGCCTGACGTTTCGAATTTCATTTAAACTAAACTATCATACTATCTCAGTTGTTTACTGGACCTCTGCTCAAACATTTTCCTTTAAATTTTTACAACTATATATACAATTCATTAATGTAAAAATATTAAGAATTATCAAGAGTAAGTTGTTTTAGTCGAGCCCCCTTTCTTTTTTTTAACATGTCTTTACAATTTTGATAATTCTACTTATCCAAAATAAATAAACCAAGTGTGCACCATTCTATTCCGTACGAATTCGGCTATGATCGGTACAAAAATTGATTAAAAATATTGAAAAACCAAATTTTTATAACACTTTATTTCCGTTTCATTTGTTCCTTCTAAGAGACAAAATGAAATGCAAACACGATCAACTGATATTTAGATATCTAGACAACAGTTTTTAAAAATGTGACAATCATAGGTATAATAAAATATCTCCAAATCTTGTGCAAAGTAAATAATGTGTCACAAAAGAAGCTCGCTACTTTGGAGGCCAAGGTCGAACAAGGTACACACGTTTCCAAGAATACTTCGTACTATTTCCGTGACTGAAGGTGTTTGTTCCCATAGTCTGCGGACTGAAAAAAAAAAAACAGAAATTTCCAGTCACTTCCACGGGAAAAAACGGGTCAAATGCATCGAATCGCGATCAAAGACATCGAAGAGTGAAAAAGAGTGGCACGAGAGCTAGATCGTGAGTTCTGGCGCGGAGAAAGAAGAAGACGAAAGATGGCGGGGGTGATTATGGTTGCCGGTGGCGTGCCAACCGAGGACGCAGTGAACAATATGACCCGTGCTCGGTACAATAGCCTCGTATCATGCGCACGACACGCGGCAATTCCCACATAAATTCGAGTGTGTGCGTGTGTGTGTATGTGGGCCGTCAGCGCGTGGTGGAAAAACAGTTTCCTGAGAATCTTCTCACGTTCCTCGCCAGCACGAGCCAAGATTTTCGGCATCGAAGTAGCGAAAATCAATATTTTTAATATACACTTCGGGAAAAATCTACCGTAGTTATAATAATATTTTTAACCAAACAAATGCAATTTCCGTTGTAAAACAAATCGAAAAGTCTTGTACTGTTTCGCGATACGAGGCTCCGTTCTCGAGATACGAGCAATTAAAGTTTGCGCGTATCGCGTGATCAGCTGTCAGATAAAGTGGCGCTCGTCGAACACAGATCGACAAACTTCGACTGTTTGTACCTCGAAAACGGAACTTTCGATTGAAGAACGGTTAAGGACTTTTCGATTTGTTTTTTCGCAAAGAATTAATATATTATATAAAAATAATTCTATTCGTTAATACCAACCAGAAAATCCAAAATAGTGGATATAATCGGTGGATTCCTATTGTATATACATTTTTTTTCCTGTGAATTCTAATACTTTCTAGCAAACAAAGTATTTGAAAATGTGAACTAGAACGGTTTTGTTGGTTTTCATAGAATGCTGTGGCATGTTTGGAACGTTGCGTTGGCTCGTGTTCTAGAAATTGTGGGATGACTCAATGATTAAGAAATTAAGATGCCACGATAGATTGTTGGCGATTAACTAAATATAAATTTATATATCGAACGCTGAACAATCTGACCATTGACATGCATTAATAATAAGTGGATGACACACCGGCGGCCAGCTGACGAAATTATTTTCGCGTAACTGAGAAGCCAGGCACAATGCCAAAACGAACGCGAAAATATATTGTGGACTGCTACGACACAATTGTATCGAAGACACCGAGTGTCATGGATAATAGAGCGCAATCATTTCAACAGGCTATAACAAACAGTGTGCGGTGTGTATTTGTATGCGTCTCTTAAAAATTGCAGAAATTGTTTATAATTTTTTGTGACGTTTTAGTGTCATTCGATGATCATTTCAACGATGCAAATTCTTGTGGAAAATTCGTGAAAGGTAATTAAAATCATAATCACTCAATTTTTTAATTCCCTATGATTTTTTTACGATAATGATAATTGTAAACAATATTTATTTGTAATTAATAAGTTTTGGGGCAATTTATGTTACTTTTGAAAGAGAAAATATAAAATAAAACTGACATTTTGTGTTCTGAATATACAGTTGCAAATAAACTGATAATCTGCTTAAAACGTAGTATACGATTGTTTTTTACAATTGACAGCGCTAAAATTTCTTTAATTGCTGTCTGAAAAATATAACCACAACGCTTGAGGCGTCATTTTAAAGGCAGAGGTCTATACTTTTCCGATGTTAAATTCAATTTTCTGCGATGTCTCTTTAAATCTGGGGAAAAAAGTGAAAAAATGAAGATTTTTGTGAAATGGGGCTTTCTCTAAAATATCAACAAATTTTTTTTAAACTGAAACTACGATGAACTTGATTGAAATCCCCACTTTCCGATTTTGAAAAGTTAGTATACGATCTTTTTTCATTATCCATCTTGAATTAGTCGGCGTATCGAAATTGACAAAATAATTTATATTCGGTGTACAGTTTCAGAAGTTATTAATTCTTCAATCGAGAGTGTTTATCCATCGAGAATCGAAGTGATCGATACATTACGCTAATATAAAACTTTTTTATCTTATAATTAACTTTTGGCGAAAGTGTTTTTGTGAAAGTTGTAAAAAATTGTTCGAGTTTGTTTTCTGGATAAATTGCAAATGTCTGGTGTTCATTTAACGTTTTCAACGTTTATTAATGATTGTGACATAAAATTTTCATGAACAAGTGACGTTCATTACTTGTTTACAAAATTTGATAGTTATTTATACATATTTGTTATTTATAGTATAGTTTTTGCTAATAATTTGATAAAATTAATGCAACAAATTTGATTTTACCCATTTCTGTGACCTAGAAATATGTTACAGCAGAAAGACATTTTATACTGACGACAGAAAATCTTCTTTTTGTTCAAAACCTTGGTAAAATACTAATTATTTTTCCAACAGTTACTTACTTACATTTTTTAATTATCATTAGAAAAGGAAATTATTTTTTGCAAAAATGTGATTTGAAGGTATTTTTATAACTTGAAGTTTTAAGAAATATTATAATTCTAGCAAATATAAGATTTTCTACTAAGTTTAATGCAAATTTCAATTATTACTTAGAAAAATAAATTATTAATTTCTCTACATTATAATAAAAAGTTCTCTTCTGGATCTACTAACTGTCACTATGTATCTAAATTTCCAAGCCTAAATTAGTTATCCAATAGTTTGTTATTCACATTTTCTAATTTTCATTCCAACAAAAATTTTGTCTGGAATTTTTTTTTTTAAATCAACGCTTTATTAAACACCGTCATGAAAAATGCAAATATAAAATTCTTCGTTGGAACTAACCAATCGATCAATGCAAATTTTATTATCACACCTGTTTCTTTTTAAATATTCATAAATGAAAAGTTAGTTCTGAGTCCATCAATAGCCACTATACTATTGTTACATTTCCTGACTATCATTCGAAAAAGAAATTACTTTTTAAAAAAGGTCTAAATTGTAAATATCTAGCAAGCGTCTAATACCACGGAGAAATGGAAATGTTTGAAATTTAAAAAAACCACTGATCTTTTACAAAATCACTCGATTCACGGTTACGAAACCTCTATTCGAACTTTGTAGATTAAGAAAGAAACACCAGGTTACTAGTGGAAACATGAAATGTCCCTGATCAAAGAAAAATCCGTCAAATCAGAGTTCAACGTTCTCGATTTGATCTACGTACAGAGTGAAACGGAAGGATGCTCGTGCTGGTCGCGCGACACGGCGTGTGCTCGCCACTTTTTTCTCCCACACTGCCCCCCTCTCGCACAGTCAGACGGGTTCGCAGTCTCCCCTTGGCACGCAGGTGTGCGGCGACACGGTCTCCACACACGCACGCACACCCCCACACGGCAACCTGTCCCGATCTGTGGGAACTGTTCGGCCCGCGAGCTTCCCACGATACGCTCCAGCCGCTCCGGCAGCTCGGGCGAGTTCCACGGCCACGTGACAACTTTAGGGGAGGGGTGCTGGAACGTATAAACGCGCGTCACGGGCGTTCGAACGCTCAAAAGCGTCGTGGATACTGCACCGAGCTCCACACAACGCGTCCTACACGAGTCAGTCGAGTGAAACACCGAGTGACAACTTAAAAGACAAGCCAGTGATACGTGTAAACGAACATCAGATTGCTCATAACCTTCCCACGCACTAACGGAAGTGATAACTTGAGAGTCAAGCTGGTGAAACATAAAGATAACCATCGGATTGCACAAAAGTGTCGTGCAGACTGTGCCAAGCTTTCTAGCAAGTTCAGGCGAGTGAGAGGATTTGGGGATTCGGCGAGTGACAACTTGAGAGGCAAGCTGGTGAAACATAAAAACGGGCCTCAGATTCGTCGAAACCTCGGTGAAGACGGTATCGAGCTTCTCGACGCGCTCGGACGAATGCCACGCCGAGTGACAACTTGCGAGACAAAACAGTGGAACGTGTAAGGAGGCCTCAGATCGTTTAGAAGTATCCTGGAGACCGTATCGAGCTTCCCAACGCGCTCGGCCGAGTTGAGCGACTAGCGATAACTTGAGAGACAAGTTGGTGGAACACGATCGCCAAATGGCGCCGCACAGTGTGGAATGCGAGGAACCAGTGTCGAGGACGTACCAGTACCGGAAAGTGATGAAACCGATGCTGGAAAGGAAACGAAGAGCGCGTATTAATCGTTGCTTAGACGAGTTAAAGGATCTCATGGTGACAGCTTTACAGGCAGAGGGGGAGAATGTGGCGAAACTGGAGAAGGCGGACATCTTGGAGCTGACCGTCCGCCATTTGCACACACTCAGAGCCGCCAGGAGGCTGACGTTGACACCCGAGAATAGTTACGCTGACAGGTTCAGAGACGGGTTCACCCACTGCGCCCAGGAAGTGTCATCGTTTCTCGCCACGCCGCTCGCAGCCAACGTCCACCCACTAGCTGGCGCTCAACTGATGCGACACTTAGGCGGCTGTCTTCGAAAACTCGAGGGACCTGATTCGGTAGGGAGTCCTGTGATCGACAGTGTCGCACACAATGTTTACACACCCCCACAGAGCCCTGTCAGTGTCGAGAGCCCGCTGGGTGAGTCCCTCGAAGTGTCGCATGGGGTTTGGAGACCTTGGTGATCCGGATCTCGGAACTTTTGCTGGGAGAAACGCTGTCAGTGCGAGCACCTTTGACCATGTCTTTCAAAGTGTCAAAATGTGTCTGGAAATTCTTAGTGATCGAGAAACCTAGTAACTTTGAGCGGTATTTGGGAGAAAATATCATCTTAGGGATATGGTGGACACTGAGGATACCGGTCTCTTCAAGTGTCACAATAGCATTTGGAGACCCTGAAGACCAAAAACTGAAGACTTTCAACATTATTTCGTGAAAAATGTTTCTTAAGAACGTAACGAGGGGTCGAGATAATTTTGTCATCGTCCTCTAACCATGTCTCTCAAACTGTCACAATGACGTTTTACCGACCCTAGAGACCAAAAATTGATAACTTCGAACGTTATTTGATGAAAAAGACTTTGCTAAGGCTATGGAGGATGAATAACTTAGTCTTCCATGTAAATGGAACTTGAACAAGAAGCGAGATTTCAATTATTTTAATAGTATATAGTTTGTTTTCTTTATTGTACATTGGTGATGAAGCTTTAAGTGACGACTGTGATAGGGTTCGATATTGTACCTGAAATAACTATTTTTCCATTTTTTGATTGCAAAGTAGAATGAATATTATGATTTTTATTATAATTATTATTATTATTATTATTATTATTATTATTATTATTATTATTATTATTATTATAGATTTTAGATTTGTTGCGTTTAGGAATTAAGTTTTTTTGACAATACGTTCTTGGCTCGAAAGGAGTCGTTGTCCAAGATGTTAATAAATATTTTTTGTCGAACATGTTGACTTTTTTATGTACTCCTTTACCTAAATCCCTCGAATTCTTTTTTCTGTGATAGTAGGTGTTGAATATTTTAATAAATATATTTTTGTTATAAATAATTGAAATTAAATGATCATTTTTTAATTCTATAATTATAGATTGATGTCACTGATTTTATATGGAGGATCATTTTATGAAATAAAATTAGAAAATTTGGGTTAATTATTAATTACTGTAAATACACAGAATTATAAAAATTTTACTAATTTTTTTTCCCTTTATTCTTTTTTTAATTGATTTGAAACAGATTTTCAAGCATTCATAAAACAGAAATATATTTAAAAAAAAAAAGTTCTACAAGGATCAATCTTTTTTTTAATTTAGATTTTGAAACGAAAATACGAATATTTCACAACATTAACTTAAATATTTGTTTTTATATGAAAGACCTTTCATATTTTCAGTCTAAAATTGGAGGATTTAGTGAAAAGATTTTAGATTTCTTATATTTTAGATTTTTAAGATTTATTTAAAACATCTTTCCAATTGTTTATAAATTAAATATATATTTCAGAAAAAAACGAGAGATTTCTAGAATTAATAATAATGATCCATATCCAATTTTCCTAAAACTTGAACTTTTAAAAATACAAAAACTTAATTTTCAAGTTTTATTAAAATTCACATGTTTTTCATTACGATGAAAACTATTATTGAATATGTATAATCACATACAATGAAATGTATTGATTATGTATAATCAATAATTGTTCTAATTAACATAATAATCCTAATTAATAAATAAATGATGATTTTGAACCGCTTTTCCCATGTAAACAATTTTCCCTAAAGTTGATTACGATACTTTCAATTTGAGTAGCTAATAAGAAATTATAAATCCTCAAAACTAATTGAATCGTTATTTCATTCTCGATTTTTATTGTCTTTTAGCTTGGAAATCGCCATTTTGGAAGAGTGCCAGTACTAAGTGGACACCCTGTATGTATTATCGAAACAAATTAATTTTAAACCGTAACAAACTATTTGTCCATGTTTGATAATTCAATGGTAAAAATAAAATCAATATATAACAATTTATTTATAATTTATTCGATCCAAAAATAAAATTATTATCTTTGTTATAAAGTATTTTGTCGTATAATCATCACAAAATACAATGAACAATCTACATTTGCATGTAAATAATAATTTTATCCACGTCTGACTGACTTCGAGGGAAATTAATTTGTAATAACAATTAGATAATACAAATTATAAAATTTAAACAAATTTTGTATGGTTTTTTACTAAATAACCTAACTTTTCTGCATTAATTTATGCGTTGTTACAATTTATTTATAAAATCCAAGTGTTTCATAACATTATTTGACCTTTTCTCATGAAAATAATTAGTTACAATTATTGACAGTGAGAAAGTTCATTTTTTTTAAGTATCGAAAATTGTGGTCATCTGTGTGTTAGAATTCGACCTAAAATGTTAAATATCAAATAATTTCATGTGTATAGATAAAAAAATCATAACTCTCAAATGAATTGGAGGATTTTAATATTTCTAAATGCAAACAACGCGTATTTCGGTGAAGAACATTTTCAAATTGTAAGACAATTAAAAAAGTTGTTCTTTAACCTCGTAAACTGCCAAAAACCTCATAAAAATGGTCCAATTTTCAAACAGCCATAACTCCTAGAATAGTGAATATATTTCGATGAAACTATTTTCTGAAGTAGAACTCATGGATACCTACAAAAAAGTATAAGACAACTTTTCCATAGGGCGTCAAATAAAATTACTCAAAATCAAAAACGAATTTTTAAGAAAAATCGACAGGGAGTAGGTGCTTAAATATTTCGATAAAAAAAAAATTTCAAATCGTTCTGAAAAAATTATTTTTAGTTGCAGGGGTCAATTACAATCATTTTTGGTCAACAGACGTAACCTCGAAATACTAACCATTTTCGAGAAAAAACTTCTTTACCGAAAATATAATGTGCAGCCAAGAAATGTTTCTCCGCATGCGTATATGTATATGAAACATCATAATTTTTGAACGGATTGACGGATTTTAATGTTTCAATGTGCAAACAACGCGTATTTCGGAGAAGAATATTTACAAATTCTAAGAATGTTGGAAAAGTTGTCCTTTAACCCCGTAAAGTGCTAAAAACTCCATAAAAATGGTCCAATTTTCAAACGACCATAACTCCTGTAATAGTGAATGTATTTGGTCCTGCCTCTTGGCATTTCCTTGGTCTTCACTGGATTGCTGACCTTGATGTCAATCTCATTGTTGATCATCTGTGATCATAATCCTAACATCACGAAGTCGAAGATAAAAGCTTTCTTACAAGGATTCTCTTACAATTTGATGCACGATCTTCTTCACATTTTGTTCCACTTTGAAAGAGTGTATCTCAAGACTAGGAATTAAAGGAATAAACGTTAATCGGACATTCCGAATAATCGGCACAATAAGGCATACATACACATAATCTAGAATTATGCTTACCACTGGGTACTGAATCCTTGCACACTGATACAGTTTATTTCCCTCGCATTTCTTTGTCCATTACATGAAACATAAATTTATTTTCGATGTTAATAAGTAATCCATAACTAAAACAGTCCTCCTACAGTACCAACGAATCGACGTCGATAAATTAGATTTCATATCCAATCGATGATACAGAAAGGTCTATTATCAGAAGAGATAAATATTTAGTATAATAATTAAACGTCTAGTGTCGCTATGAACCATTACCCAGGCTCTGACACTAATTTAGTCAATAATTATTTATTAAACAAGATACTAAAGCCTTAAAAGTTATTAAAAAACTTTTATTTTAATCTGATATTTTGATATAATAATTATTTAAGCTAATTTTTTCAATGAAAATTATTTGACTAATTAATAATCAGAGAGTTTTATAGTTATTACTATTTTTTAGGAAACTCTCTAAAAAATGATGTCAATATAAATTACACGAAATTATGAAAAAACTCATATTTGACCTCTAATACTCACAGGAAAGTGATCTCGATTTTTAATTATTATAACTTTGTGTAAAAAGGTCGTAGAATGATCGTCTTGGCTCATTTTAAAGGTAGAACTCTCTACTTTCAGACGTCTAATTTTAATTTGCTCGAAAATCCATATTTTGATTTAAAAAAAAGTAAAAAAAACATGAGAAATTGTGTAACTTTATAAACTTAAATAAAAATTGTTGCTTGGAATAATTTAAAAAATTTAACCTACCTTTAACGTACCTCTGATCATTTTTCAAGACAACACAGTACAATTCTCGAGGCTATTGTTAACAATAATTTCCAATTATTCAAATTATTGTTAATTTTATTACAATATTTAATTTCCATTAATGGATGTCATATTTAGAAAGTGAAACTACGAATTCTCTTCGAACTTCTTTTATACATAAAGTGGATGGTCTTCTATCATGTGTGCCAAAATTAAGTTAGTATATGTTATAGTTTTTTCTAACCGTTTAAAGAATTTGAAACTTGTACAACATTCCATGAAAAATCGTTTTAGAACATTTTATTTCAGGTTAATGGACATTCAGAACGTCATATTGTAAATATAAAAAATATTTTACCCCAAATTTCAATGATTTAAAATGAAAATTCCCTTTAAATCCCACGTGGAAACCTTAACAAATAGTGGATAGATTCAGTATTGCATGTTTCGACCATTTTTGGCAAATTTTTCTTCTTAAAACTGGAAATTCTCAATAAATAAACAAAAGTTCGTAATGCAAATCGTGTATATTTGTGAATTCCGCGCCATTTTAAGCATTTCGAGACACGTGACGGTCGCCATTTCTGCCGGACACGCGTCAACCGTACAACTTAACCACGTGGTGCTGCTATAACTTGAGTGTTAGCACGTTTTACGATTCGAGTTTCGTGTTTTCAAGTAAAAATTGGAATTTCTATCGTCGCCACGCCAATGTTTTAGTTAATAACTTTCTTCGACCAAGGTAGGAACAACAATTTCTATTTTTTTTATGATTATGTACATTCCAAACTTCCCACCGCCAACCATAACCTCTTCTTTTTAGATCAACAATGTATTTATTTACGTTTCTCTTCTTAGTTAAACTTAAATCACTTTTCAAAGTGGATTAAAAATGGACTATTAAAATATTTAAGAGAGATACGGTTAAACAAATGTACAGTTTGTTAGGAAATAGCCGAACCTATGTTGCAAAAATTATTTAATATATTTATTTAATTTCGTAGGCAATAGGAAATTGGTTAAATAATTTCTTAATTAGATGGAACAAAAATGAGAATTGCTTATTTTATACGTTTACTTTTGGAAGTTTGTTTAAAATATTTTCTGGAATTTTTATAAGTAACAAAAGTGTAAAAATGATAAAAGGTGGCCATTGTTGTTCAAGAATCAATATTTCCTGAAATGTAATCGCGAATATATAAATTTTATCAGTAATTATATAACGTATATTAACAATTCTTCTTTTACCAAACAAATTGTAAGCTTTTGGATAAATATAGTTTGATTTCTTCTTTCTTTCGTTCTAGAGTCAATAGAAAATTATTTAAATAGAATAATAGTAATTTTGTCTTTCTTAATTTCAGGAATTATTTATTTGATTCATTTACCTTTGACTTGGTTTAAAATAGTTTTATAATTTTTCTAAATAATGAATTATACGGATATTTTCGGGAGAATAAAAATCTTAATAGTATCCATTGTTGTTCGAAATTTAATTTCGAATTTATACATTTAAATATAAATTCAATTTTATTAACAATTATACGTATAATTTAGATTTCATAAAACAAACACAACAATTTTGAATCGGATGTCAAAATTATTAAAAAACCATTCTTCGGAAAGAAAAGAATTGTGAAACATAGTAATAATTATAAATAAAATTTATAGTCACATGATTTGCTAAAATATTGCAAAATTATTATGATTAACCCCTAACCCTTAATTACTCGCGTCAACGCGATATGTAGTTTCTATTTTTGTTCCACAAATGTTACTAAATCTCTTAAAGAAAATCGATTTAGACAGCTATATCGGAAAATGACATTACCAGGCACGATATCCACGTACAATAGAACAATACAAGTACAATTGAAGGTTAAAAAAACATACATTCTTCGAAAGAAACAAAATTTTTTAATATTGTAATAATTGTAAATAAAATTCACACTAGTATGATTTAATAAACCAGAAAAATTTTGAATTTGATGGTATAATTTTGGAAACATTTACAAAATAATAAAAAAGAATTACATTGCAAAATTATATCAACGCGTTGAAATATATTTTGTTCGGTTTAAAAAAATTTGTAAATAAATTAAATGCGTAACAAAATTTTTGCACGAAACATGTTTTATCAGATTTTATCTTACAAGGATATTTAACAAAATACAAAATTTGTTTACTCATGAAAGTTCTTTATTTTTTTGATGACTGAATGGTGACAAATTAATAACAATCATACATGAAAAGTAAATTTTACAACAGATTGTACTATTGCACAAAATGAAGACGATTTTGAAAACATGTTATCAAGATAGAAGCACTGTGCTTTTTTCGTAATTTATGAACGATAATCCATTTCAAAATTCCGTTTATCTTTTGGGGATGTACATGACTACTATGATTCTGTATATGTATAGTAAAAAAATGAAAAGGTATAATTGTTATCAGTTTATCAACATTCAGTCATAAAAAAAATAAATAAGTCAGAAGTAAATAAATTTGTTATTTTATTAAATATCCTTGTAAGACAAAATTTGATAACAAAATATTTTATACAATTTTTTTTTTTTTTTTTTGTAGAATAAGAATCTGTAAGTGAAAACAAAAATCCATTTAAAAAACAAGATTATCATTCAAAGACCTTGAAATCGAATAACTTTTGTATTTAAAATTATTTCCAAAGATGTGTTATTTTCGAGATATTTAGATTCAAAGCTTTCAAATGAACTTTTCGTGTAAATAAACACACGGTTGACCTTGATGGACATTTTGACCTTTTTTAGACAAAACTTACGACTTGTTAACTAGATATATTTTACAGTATTGCGATAAAAAAATCTTTAGAAAATTTTTGGAAATAACTAATTATAATATCTTTTGTGAAAAATGATTTGCATTCATTGATGAATTAACAATTACGTGATTCTAAAAATACGGATGTTATTTACAGGAGAATTCATTAAGAAAGATTGTGTTTTCGAAACTAATCAATTTTTGTCTGAATTAATTGTTATAAAAGTTAGTTTATGAGTAATTCTCATTTATAGACTAAAATTGGAGACTTTTTATAGGATTCTATTTAAAAAAAAGGACATTCACGTGACCTTCACGCGTCTATTTAGTTAATTAGAAAAAATGTCGAGATCATCGATATAACAAACCTTTTCATAAATCTACGAAAATGTATAGATAGTTTAAAAACTGTTAGTTAGGAAACAGTTTACGATTACACGATCGGAGTTTATCAATCTCGAAACCTCGATACTTTGATACCTGGACACTTATCAATAACTCCATAACCTAAGGTCATTTACAATTTACAAGTCCTTTAAAACTCTAGCATGAATCACCGAAACCATCTTTCACGAAACCGTCGATATAACACAGAAACCAAATCTGTGGTTCCCCGCTAAAAGAAAATTTTTTTCAGATGTTCCAGACTGTCCAAGATGGAGATGTGCAACGGTCGCGAGTCAAGCACCGCGAGCAGCATCGATGGAGGTGACACGTTGGAACACTTCGAGGAAGAGGTGGACACTCTCCAATACATCACCCACAGCCCACCGATCAATCTTCCGCCCGAAATGCCCTTTAGAAGAAGTCTATTCCCACACGTGGGCCCCTACATCGCCTTTCAATCGTTCGACTGCGAGGGCCCGATGGTCCCCGGTGAAATAACGAAACACTTAAAATGGCGTCTGAGTACCATAACTCCTCTGATCGTACGTCGAACGCTAGTAAACTCCGGTTTCCGTTTAATGAAAAAGTCTCAGGAATGGTGCGGGACCTGGGGCAAACACATGAAATCCGTCGGCTTCCGAGCCCTTAAAGAGTCACAGAAGATCAACCATTTCCCAGGCACCTTCCAAATAGGTCGCAAGGACCGGCTCTGGCGCAATTTAAGCAGAATGATGGCGAAATACGGCAAAAAGGAGTTCAGTTTCGTTCCAAAGACTTATGTTCTGCCTCAGGATCTTCGGTGTTTCAAGCAGGTGTGGGAGAAGTGCGGGAGCAGGGAGAAGTGGATCGTAAAGCCGCCTGCATCGGCCAGGGGAACAGGTATCAAGGTCGTGCACCGCTGGTCGCAGATACCAAAGAAACGAGCTGTAGTGGTGCAACAATATTTGTCCAGGCCGAAACTGATCAGCGGTGCAAAGTTTGATTTGAGATTATACGTCCTGGTGACTAGTTTCAATCCATTGAGAATATACATTTACCCGGATGGTTTAGTAAGATTCGCCTCGGTCAAGTATAGCGACGACATTAACTACCTCAGCGACAGATTCATGCACCTGACCAACTACAGTATCAACAAAACGAATTCTACTTATACCAGCAACGATTGCGTTGACTCTTGTTCAGGGCACAAATGGACACTCAAGACTTTGTGGGCGTATTTGGAGAGGGAGCACGTGAACGTGAAGAGATTGTGGGAGGCCATGAAGGACATCGTCGTTAAGACTATGATCGCTGGGGAGTCTTCTATTAATAGTCTCTCGAAGGCTAACAGGTCTTCTAGGTATTGTTGTTACGAGCTTTTTGGCGTCGATATTCTTCTGGATGAGAACTTAAAACCTTGGTTGTTGGAGGTTAATATATCACCGTCCCTGCAGTCATCGTCGCCATTGGATATCGCTATTAAGGGGCCTTTGATTAAAAATGTATTCAATATGGCGGGATACCAACTTCCGGATACCTTGACGTCGGAGGAAGAAGAGAGGCTGGCGGAAATGTATAGATTGGATGTTGTGTGTCAGGATTTTAGGCTACATACTACTAATTTGAGCTCCAAAGAGATCAGGAAGCAGGATTTGTATGCCAACCTAAGGGACAGGGATGAGTATCTTGAGGAAATTATCGAAGATCTCACGCCCGATGATGTTAGACATTTTGTGATTTATGAGGACGAGTTAACGCAAATTGATAAATTTGAGAAGATCTTTCCTACAAGCGAAAGTCACGAGTATCTTCAGTTTTTTGAAGTTCCGAGGTATTATAATATGTTGTTCGATGCGTGGGAGGTTAAGTACGGAGATGATAGAGCAAAAGGTATATCTAGACTGCAAAAACTTTGTCGAAAAAAATATCATTTGGAACAACAATTGGAGTTTTAAAAAGTTGGGATATTGAAATTTTGGAAAACTCGAGACCAGTTTCGAGGTTTTTATATACATGCTATACAATACCTTGTTATATGTGACTCATGTGACTTTTACATGACCGAAAACTTATTTTAATGTAAAATCTTGTCTGAATAAATCATTTTACAGTTCAAAAATGTTTTTGAGTCGATTCCGAGTTTCATTTTATGAAATCTTGAAATAGAAACAATATGATGGTAAGAAGGTTTATGAAATCTAAATTTCAGTCGAGATTGTCTTGAATTTATATTAAAAAATTGATTGGGCATTGGTGTTTACCCGGTGGTCGACGTTTCAAACTTCAAATTTGTTATGCAATGACGGTTTTGTAAAATTTTGTTTGAAATACCGCCACTTTATAAGAAATTTGAAATACCGGTCACCTTCGTCCACTATTTTATAACAAGTATGAAACCGTCCCCAAATGAAAATCCTATTTATAATATTCTAAATAATTATCCGAAACTGAACAACGGGACCAAGTTTAATTTCAAGTTATATGTCCTGCTGACCAGTTCCAAACCGTTAAAGACGATATTAACTACCTCAGCGATAGGTTTTTGCGCCTGACCATCTATACAAAACAAATTCTACTTGTACCAGTAACGATTGCGTGAACTCATGTTCGGATGCACAAATGAAGACTGAAGACTTATGGGAGGCCATTGAAAACCGTCGTTAAGACTGTTGATTGCTTTTGATGTGATACAGTTGTACATGTATAGTTGAAGAAGCATACTATATTTTCCAAGCAACCATAATATGTACTGAGGACAATCCTTGGCACAAATTCATAAAACCGCAAAATAAATCGAGTCCATGGCGACTTATTTCTAAAAGTCCCATTGCTAATCCTTTTATTTATTTCAAATGTTCTGTTTTTAAACCGACGCAAATTAATCAATCGTATAGAGAAACACAGCCATGAATGGGACACTTTTATTTAAGACAAAATAACAGAGAAACTAAACCTGTCTAGTTTGAAACATTTAAAAGATGCTATAAGATGCTATATGAATGCATAATATTAATAAGATTCTCCTACGTTTATCTGCTTTATTTTTAATTAAAAAAAAAAAAAAGTTTATTTTATCCCTTTCATCAATTGGTTGTATTGAATGGGACAGAGTACAACAAACTTATGTAATAGTAGTATTAATCTTATTAAATTTCGTTTCTTTTATTCATTGTAAGTATATATAATATTATTGTATATTAATCTTAAATTATATAAATCATTTTTACATCTTTGGTTAATATCACATTTCAATATGTATAACAAAGATAATCCTTTCTATAAGAAAAACTTGAAAAAAAATGAACAAAAAATATCTTAAAAATGTATGTCATGACAAGCAAAAAAAATTTAGTGTACCTTTTATGCTACATATTTCGTGTACTCATTTACCATAGATTTGACCAAATATGATTTATTTACATATTTGACATTCATGATTGTTAGAGGTTCTGGTTTTGAACGTGTATTTAAGATACACGCGTAGTTAATATATTCGTATTTTAATCTGTGTATTTCTTAATACACAGGTGCACGTGTATCGAAATGCACATATAATATACATGTATCCGTGTACTGATTTTCATCTATCGAAATATACGCTTCCACTTGTATTATTATATCCGTATTCTATTACGTGTCATTATTTATGTCTAATGTGTAAATACCATTCTTCCACGAGAAGAAGGCACAGCGTGTTCACATCCCCACTCCTGTCGCAGTTCGCTGACTCACAGGTATTGGTTGATAACGGTGACGAAGATCGGTGACAGCCAATCAGCGGACTGCAGCAAGAGTGGAGATGCAAACACGCTGTGCCTTCTTCTCGTGGAAGGACGATAGATGCCTGAATGTTTATGTTTTACGCAAATAATTTGCAGACATGAAATAACAAATTGCATTATTTGTTATCTATGAACTGGAGTATTATCATTTTCGAAGGGTAAACGGTTCCTTTTTGTCGTCATCGTATTTCGACATTGCTACTACCGCTAAATATATTTAATAAATTTCTTTATATTTTCCGATTATATTTTTTCCAGATTTTTAAAAAAATCTATGTGCCTTCAGTCACAAATGTGAAACATAAAAGTTTGTTTATCATTTTTACGTTATAAAAACGGTTTGTCAGCTTAAAGGAAAATGCAGTTCGAAAGGTTGATCCGTTTCTTACGAAAACGAAAAGGAGGCTACTCCGCGGGGTCAAGCAATAGGCAATGACACAAGTGATGGATCTAAGCGAATAACTGATTCGACGAATCGTCACTAGAGATGGCGTGAACTGCTACTTTTGAATCACTCGTGATTCGATCACGTTCATTCCCAATCATGGTGATTTTTCACAATGATTCGTGATTCTTTGTGATCGCGTTTGATTGATAGGGACCGTTCTTTTCACTTTTCACGAATTACGTCCTTAGACTGTATAGACTGTATGTATTATCTTATAATATGGTCTAAAAGCAATGTTAACATAATTTTCTTATTAGGAGAAAGAAAAGGAAAAATTAAAATTGATAAATAAATATAAGTATAAGTTTTATTTCTCGTTGTTTCAACATTCGTTTCATAAATGTTCGTAAAATTTTTCAACAAAGTAATGTATACGCAAAACTAACCGGTTTGTAAGTTTAAATTTCAACTTATTTCTGTATAATATGAATATATACATATAAAAGGTTTTCATATAAATGAACATAAGAATTTTTATTACTGATGATTTTATACTTTTTCTTATTTTTAAAGCGAGTGTTCTACACCTAAGCAATACTTCATTTTCGTGGCAACAAACTTATCAATTATTTAAATAATCATACATAACAAAATATCCGCGAATTCAAACAAAATTATGCGGAATTCCGCATTTCAAGAATTTGTCGCGGTATTTATTCAGAATAGGAGAAACTTGACCGATTTCGATGATTTTCATATTATGTTATAGAACTCGACATATTAAACAAGTATTTGACAAATTCCTATTGATACTACTGCGTTGAATTTGGCTTACATGTCCTTCCACGAGAAGAAGGCACGGAAAGGGTCAACATAATAAATACACTTGTCTCAATTATAACGATTTATTATATTTAACTTTCTATGCTACGTACAGTACTCTACACGCAACATGCGTTCCATATTTACTCAAACCTAACCTCAAACATGCATACACCTATCCTTCGAACTCTGTTCTCAAAAGTATCGAACGTCATAGGCCTTTTCCTAAGAATCTTGTCATCGCGGTTTAGGTTCGATAGCAGCTCAAGTGGCGATACGCCGGTGCGTCTGCGATTCCAAGTATCGCGTATGTTGTGATTTCGGCGTGACGTCAGGGAGCCCGACGCTTTGTTGCCGGCCGCCAAAGGACCACGTGCACGAGAAGGCTTCGTCGAATATGATAAAGACTTTGAGGAATGCAGTCGTTTTTTTTAACATACTATTTTAAAAAATACTCAACGAAACAAATTTTTGACAGATAAACTTGTAGATACTTTTGATGTCTCTCTAATCTGAAACAATGCGATATACAGGATAAATCTCATAGTATGAGGACTTAAAATAACTCATGTATTATTATTGTACAAAAAAATGTTTCAGATAAATGTTGCATGGTTTCTAGGGGACACATAGTCATTTTGTTTTTTTTATCAAGATTACTTTCAGTTTTTTAGATAGAATGGTTAACAGTTCTTCCCCACATTTAGATAAAGCATTAAATTCTACGTAACAGGTATTATATTAAATAAGGTCTGAAACAAGTAATTACCGAGATACTAGAGATAAACGATTATTATGTCGTATTTGTCACTATTACTGAACAACTCAAAAGTAAAACCTTTCTCGTGTAGGTCTTTTCCTTTACTAAGCTTATTCTTAGTTGGTCGATGATACCTAGCATTTAATAAGAACTGTGTTTACCAATATGAGCGACAGCCATAAACAAAGTTGCTTCACTATGTTGTGCTAACAGTCATGTTGATCAACGTGAAATTTCCTAATACGAGATAATTTATTTTGACTAGTATCTTAGTAACTATTTTTCTCAAACTCTAGTATAATACTTTTTTTTATGTAGAATTGAATATTTTATTTAAATTCAAATTTCACGCGAATAGAAGAGAATTTTTATACATATGGAAAGACCTTGCTGTACCACCTTCTGGCAAGACGATTGCGATTACCATCACGAATGCTATAAATTAAGTTATAGTATTTAAGTATTGAATATTTCCATTCTCAAGGCAACGATTCAAACAAATGTCGAGGATATGGCAATAAAGTTAAAAATATTCTTATAAATAAAATAAAAATTTTTCAAAATATTAAAACATCTTTAAATAATTTTTTACAATTCAAAAAATACAGAACTCACCAAAATAAAATTAAACCCCATTAACTGTAAAAAGTTGTGACCGTCACACGAAACTTCGAAAAATCAACCATTCTGAAATGAGTAACTTTTGAAATAAAAAAGAAATTACATACTTTTCACCGAACCTCCCTAACCAACCACAAATTTGACACAATTCAAAATTCCCCAGTAATTAAAACCTCGAGACAAGAATAAAATCCATTAAAACTCCATAAACCGTCTACAATTTTACAAAATGAAGATTCAATTACGACAGAATGCAAGTACAGGTACCAGTTACAGCAAACAAACTCCAAACTACTATCAGGACGACGAAACATATGTGTATACCGAGATCACAGAATATTTAATCTCCCAGAAACCAAAATTTCGAATCTTGTCCACTTCAAACCTCGAAATCTCGTCATTACCATTACGTAGGAGTCTCTTTGCTCACGTACCACCCTTTATAACCTTCCAGAGGAAAGAAGCCTCACAACAACTTCCCCCAGAAATCACAAGACATCTTTTTTGGTTGGTTTCCAAAAATTCGTTGGAGTTAATTTTCTCCGTCGTAAAAAAATCCGGATTTTCCCCGACAAAGAAGCTCAATTCTAATTGGTGCGGGACCTGGTGGAAGGAAACCCTTGTACAACACACAAAACCGTTCTCAAAAGTCAACCATTTCCCCAGTGGCAGCCATTTTGGTAACAAAATCCAACTTTGGAAACGTATTAAAAAAATGCAAAGAAAACACGGTTTTAAAAATTTCGATTTCATGCCTCTGTCTTTCGTCTTGCCAAAGGAATTGGATTCTTTGAGACAATATACAAGACAAAATGGCGGATGTTGGATACTAAAGCCTCCAAACTCTTGCGCGGGCGAGGGAATATCCATAATCAGTGATTTAAAAAAAATTCCAAAAAAACCTTTAATTTGTCAATTTTACATTTCTATACCTAAATTAATTAATGGCGTCAAATTCGACATTCGATTGTACGTTTTGGTGACCAGTATCGATCCTTTAAGGATTTACCTTTATGAAAATGGCCTCGTCAGGTTTGCAACTGTCAAATATTTAAACAATCCAACGACATTCCAAAACAGATTTATGCACTTGACGAATACAAGCGTGAATAAAAATAGCCCAAATTTCATAAAAAACGTTAATTTGAACGAAAACAAGGGGAGTATGTGGTCCATGACTTATCTGTGGAAGTATTTGGGGTCTGAGTGTGACGTGGACACTGTATGGATCTGGGATAGGATCAAGGAAATTGCGGTTAAAACTGTGATTAGTATGGAATCAATTCTGGTGAAAAATTTGAAGAATTGGAATTCGTATAATTTTTATCAACTTTTGGGATTCGATGTTATTTTGGATGGGGAATTTCGACCATGGTTGTTGGAGGTTAATGTGTTTCCCTCGATGGAGACCGATACAACACTGTGTGGGATTGTAAAAGGGCAGTTGGTGGAGGATTTTTTAAATTTGGTCGGATATCACGTGCCTGATCTTTTAAGTGAAGAGGAATTAAGGGTTTTAAATGGGATTTATGAAGAAAAGAATATTTGTTTTCAGGGGCAAATTTATTCCTGGGGGCTTACGTGGGAGGATGGGAAGAAACAATACAAATTTAGAAAGATGGCCATTAGAGAATTATATTTAAAGGAGATTTTGAAGAGGCTGACGCCAGCTGATGCTAAAGTTTTGATTCGACACGAAGATGAATTAACAAGGACCGGGAGATTTGAAATAATATTTCCTACGAAAGATAGTTTTAGGTATTTCGAGTTTTTTGAAGAGGTTAGGTATTATAATTTGTTATTGGATGCTTGGGAAAATGAATACGGCGAAGAGAGAAAGAGAGGAATTGAAAGATTGAAGAAACTTTGTAAAAGAAAATATCATTTGCCTTAAAAGATTGAATACGACGTGAAGTTTTCGAGTCGGTTGTGAATTTTTTGGAATAGTTGATGAATTGTAATTTTCAGATTCGTAGAATTGAGATTTAATAATAAGTTACAAATCTCAATTCAAACACTGTTTAATACTCAAGAATATATGTACATAATAAAATATTGTAAAACGTGTATATTATAATAAATTAGAATACATATTTTTTGAAATATTGGGGAGTTGATTTGAAATTTTTGAATTTAATTGTTAACAACTTTTTAACGAAGCTTCCATCAACAAATTTGTATTTTTGATTTTCGTTTTATTTTGGCATCTAGAATCACTCATGTAAATCTTTCTCAGGGGTGGCCGAACACCCTGTATAGCAACCGAGGTGTGGGTCGAGCGCTTGTGAGAGCACGACCCCTCTGTTGGCGAGCATGGAAGGCGACGCCACAATTATTTTCAGGATTATTTATTTTAGCCAATTTGAAATAAAGAAATAACGAGATAACTCATTATTCGAAATCGCTTTATCTCAATCTTTTTAATATTTATACGATATAATAAATTCGTGAAAATTACGATTATGTGATTGCGATTATTATGATCATTTAAAGAACGAAGAATTTGAAAAATTGATTAAAAACACTATTTAATAATTCAGAGTGAGCATTTTATTGTAAATATTGGAGACTATTGTTAAAAATCGTACATCATAATGATTCTACGACCGTAACTAAATAATCTACCCTCTGAACGGTGCATTTTGGTTCCAACCACGTTTACTCTTGAAAAAATTTAAATTGAAATATTCAATGCACGACTAGGCGACTCGATCCAAACTATTTTCTAACTCCTCCTCGATTTTGATTCGACCTTGGAACAAAGGTAGAGAATTACTATAGCAAGTGATCGAATTGCAGTGTTATCGTCCGGTTGCATTATCTCTGGGATATCAAGACACTTGACGCTAGTAATCTTAGATTATCTGTATCGCATTTTATTGTATCGACGAACCAAGTCGACGATGGCTGACGGTGGCCTCTGTCGGGCAGCAAAGACAAGGGAAAGAAACATAAGAGCGAAGGTTAAAAAACCGGAAACAAACAAAAGACAACGGACTGTCGAAGCCACCATATTTTCCTGGCTGCGTTTCACGGGCGTCCACTAAAGTCGAGGTACTTTTTCCAGTCAACATAATCGTTTTTACTCTACTAATCCTGCGCGAGAATAATCGTGATTGGGAAATCAAGGCTGGTGCTATACTCCTTCGAAGATTTTGGCCCGTAAGTTTTTCCATCATTTCGGCCTTCCTTCGCGTGGAACTCCCAATTTTTTCAATGTCTTTTCAATTTTTTTACAATTAAATTTTCAATCTTGGTTTTACAAAATTTTCAATGGTATTCCAACTGTGAGACAATTTCCAGAAATTGGATATTTTTCAGTGACCTTGGGAGGGGTCCAGCTGTCTCCTTTTCTTCCCATTTTTTCCACGTTTAACCAAACCATGGGAAGCTATCTGAGAAAATGTCATTAATTTTTCAATAAGAAATGTCATTAATTCATAGACAAACTCTATTAATACCATTATTTTTAGCTAATTTTCTAATAGACACGTGGGGATTTATTATAGTTGCTGCTAAAATGTTGATAGAATTGTTACGGCGTGTTCTTTTCTGCTTTAATTTTTTGAAACAGTTACTTTGTCGACGACGCCATTTTTTATAAAATTTAAAAAGCAATAATACTGAAATAATTTGATAAATATTCGCCAATTAATTTATCTAGAATTATAAAGAAAGGCGTAAGCAGATTGTAAAATAGAAACGTTATTAATAAAATAGGAACTACGATACCAGGAAAAGAGAAACCGCTATATGAATTATCACATATTTATCGTAAACGCAGAAGTTTTAATTAGTATTGTCAGCGAGTGATAAAATTACCAACTATGATAAGAAAAATAGTATAAAAAAAAAAGAACCTAATTGTTCTAAACAATGTTTTCCTAATCTAAACTTCGGGAAAAATTATATTTTTCAAATTATAATAGTGGAAATTTTTTTGTTTTATTCTAAAATAGGGAAAAACTTGTTTTATCAAATAATAAAAATTGTTGGTAAATATAGTAAATATATAGTTGATAAATTCGAGACGAGGAAATTATGGCAAACGGAATGACCCATTTGATTTATCAGCGTATAGCGCTCTAAACAAGAATAAACAATGATAAAATAGGGAACAACTTGTTTTATCAAATAATAAAAATTGTTGGTAAATATAATAAATATATAGTTGATAAATTCGAGACGAGGAAATTATGGCAAACGGAATGACCCATTTGATTTATCAGCGTATAGCACTCTAAACAAGAATAAACAATGATAAGGAAAGAGATAAGGTTCGCAGCTAATTTATATCGCCATCGACGGCAATTTTCCAGAGTGCAACGTGCAAAATGGAAGTTTATGCGGATGCGCCATAAAAGTTGCCATAAATAAAAACGATCTAATGCAGTTTAGAAACCGGTTTTCTAACGAGCTGATTCGAGGAAATTTCTTGGGAATAATTAATTATTAATTTTCTTCTTTTGCATCTACGAATAAATTTTCTATATTTTCCTATTCGATACTGGGTATTTATTTTATTTTTAAATTAATAATATCAATACTTGGCCATCGATTACAATATCAACTACAAATTATTTTTCCCATTCGGTGCTTTAATACTTCAATATAATTATTCCTAAATGTTTTTAATAATAACTAAGGTTAAGTTTTTTAATCAACGTCATTAAGGATATTCTAAAATAATAAATATACTCCTAAAATATAGGAAAAGTTTATAACAACAATAATATCAATAACCAGTAATTGGTACGTCATTCGTTCAAACGAAACATTAAACTTAAAATCTTTCATAAAAATCCTTACATAAATCAAACCCGAGTATTTATGAATTTTCTTAATCAATAAACATTAATTCTACTATAAAATAATAGGTATTTCATTAAAGTATCGACTGGAAGATGAATTAACAATTAATCGATGGTCAACTATTGGAAAATATTCGTTTCTATAACCAAAAAAATTTTTTAAGACATTCATTGTAGTATCGAATGGTAGAAAATGAAATAATAATTAATAACATCGATCTCCACTTCTCGATATATGTAGTATTCATTCCTACGACAAAATCTTTGATGCTAAATTAAACCCTAAGGTAAACGTCTTAATCGACATCATTAAGAACATTTTAAAATAATAAATACACTCTTAAAATACCTCAAAAATCATCTAAAAACAATAATTAATAACCAATATCAACAATCCACTAATCACTTTTGGTTCACCTTACTTTGTTTCCTCAAACGTAGACCCTTGACTGTCATCGTCCCTTCTACTAACCATTCCCCACCATTCACATGACCTTAACCCTCAACCGCGCACGCGCTGCATCCCACGTGACCTCTAACCTCGAAACGCGCATGCGCAGCTCCTCTTAGCGGGCAGTCTACTGCCAATCTCACACGTGTGTTCAAATGAATCGTGTTCCAGCAGTTTCCAAGTATCCTTCAACCTTCCATCCTCTATTTCCCCAATTCTACCAACAATTCAGTGAAAAATAAACTCTAGATCCACGGATATCTGTAAGTAATCTTCATAAAACAATAATTAATAACCTAATTATGAGAAATTAGGCTTGAAAAACCACGTGGGATGATCTGATTTGCATACGTGACACGGTTCGATCTGTCGCTTCTTATTGGTCGATTTACCTCACATAATTACAGATAATTGGTAGATTAGGTTTATTATTTGTCCTTGTTGATCCGATAAATGAGAAATTTACGTTTTTTGAGATTTGGTATTGTTTTTCGTGTGTTTAATGTTGTTTAATTTGGTTTATATACGTTGTGAATTTGATTTTTATTTTATTAAGTTTTTATAATGTTGGGAACTGTGTGTGAATAATTGTGTGGGTAATTGTGGTGAGATAGGCGATATTATTAGATACGGCTTGCAGACGTTTCTTTGTTTGAAGATTGTTTTGTATTGAATTCAAGGCCGACCTTGCTGCGGCGCAAACGTAATCTCTACCGGGCGTACCGAAATATCTTGCCCTTGAACAAAAAGTTCGTTACAAATATTGGGCTGAATGTTTTGGGTTTAGAAGTTTGGAATTTATGTATATTATAATCGTTTCTAGAATATTTAAATTCGATGCTTTGGAATTTACGGGATTGTAATCGTTTATAGAATTGTTTAATAAAATATTTATATTTAAATTCTTCGATATTTACGCCAATATAATCCTGTATAAAATTATGTGGCACGTTTACATTTAAAATTATAGAACAATCATAATCGTTTATAGAATGTTTAAATTCGATGCTTTGAAATTCATGCGATCTTAATCGTTTATTAAATTTAAAGTTGTTTTGGAATATTTAAATTCGAAACATGGAATTCACGCGATAATTCGTAAGATATTCAGTACAATATTTAGATTCGACCACAATTGTTCATAGAATATTTACATTCGAAGTTTCAGAATTTACGCAATCAAGATCACTCGATGGAATATTTATATTAAGACTCTTTGACATTTATACGACCATAATCGTTTATAGAATTATTTGGAATATTTAGATTACAAGTTTCGGAATTTATGGAACTATAATCGCTCTTTCAATCATTCGATACTTATATTTAGATTCTTTGGAATTGACGCGACTACAATCGTTTATAGAATATTTACATTTGAATTTTTTGAATTTACGTGACCATAATTATTTCGTTAATTTAATTTCAAAATTGTTGGTTATAATAATTTTATTTAATTTATGAAAAATTTGTGGAATGTTTGCTTTAGGAACTTGGATAATTGTAATCGTTTATAACAGCGGTTCTTAACGTTTTGTCTACCACGAACCCTCTTAAAAAAATTTTTTGTGTTTGCGGACCATTACAAATTTAACGCGAACCATACGTTGAGAAACGCTGATTTATAGAATGATTGGCTTAGTATATTTACATTGAGATTCGAAACTTCGGAATTTACGTGACCATAATCGATCATAGTTACATTGTAAATTGTGTTACATTTAAATTCAAAACTTCGAAATTTAGGTTACTATAATGGATTACAGAATAATCATTCGTAAAAATAGATTTGAAGATTTGAAATTTATGTGACTACAGCCATGTATAGATTCATTTCGAATATTTAGATTCGAAGTTTTGGAATTTACACAACGATAATTGATCGTAGAATCATTTGATAGAGTATTTATATTTAAATTTTTTGGAATGTACGACTACCAACGTTTATAAAATGTACAGGGTGTTCGGCCACCCCTGGGAAAAACTTTAATGGGAGATTCTAGAGGCCAAAATAAGACGAAAATCAAGAATACCAATTTGTTGATGGAGGCTTCGTTAAAAAGTTATTAACAAATTAAATTAAAAAATTTCAAATCGTTCTGGAAAAATTATTTTCGTTTGGGGGGTCAATTACAATCATTTTTGGTCATTACACATACCCCCGAAATCCTAGGCACTTTCGAGAAAAAAAATTCCTTACCGAAAATCTAATTAGGTGCCTAAATTTTTCGACAAAAAAAATTTCAAATCGTTTTTGAAAAATTATTTCCGGTTGCGAGAGTCAATTACAATTACTTTTGGTGAATAGACATACCCCCGAAATCCTAACCACTTTCTAGAAAAAAATTCGAGGTGTGAAATTTGACGACGAAAAAAAATTTTCAAATCGTTCTGGTAAAATTATTTTCGGTTGCGGGGGTCAATTACAATCATTTTTGGTGAGTAGACATAACCCCGAAATCCTGCGCATTTTCGAGAAAAAAATTCAGTACGGGTGGAACTTTAAACATTAATAACTTTTTAACGAAGCCTCCATCAACAAATTGGTTTTCTTGATTTTTGTCGTATTCTGGCCTGTGGAATGCCCCATTAAAATTTTTCCCAGGTGTGGCCGAACACCCTGTATAGATTAAACATTTTTTAATTTATGCGATCGTAATCGTCAATATTAATTATCCCGAAATAAACAAAACTTCCTCGCTAAAAATATTCGCCTTATTATTTCCAGATTTCAACCATCTAAAATGGTGTCTTCAACGGTGACAGAGGTTGCACAAGCCCCAAAACCCAAACCCTCCTTTCCTCTAACTCCAGGTGACTACCAACTAGTAGGTTGGGATATGGACACAACCGGCAAAAAAGTAATAGATGAAATCTGTCAGATAGCCGGCTACACGCCTAATTCATCCTATTCCCGATACGTAATGCCGTACAAGAACCTAAATCCACCAGCTATGAAAAGACACAACATGAAAGTCGTAACTATCGGGAAATTTCGAGTTTTGAAGGACATGAAAACCAACAAGGTCATTAACAAATTAATTCCAACTAAAATTAAATATTTCCAATACTAAATTATGGTTAATTTTCAGGTTTTGAAGACGAAAAGCGAGATTTCCTCTTTGACAGAATTTTTAAACTGGCTGGAATCAATTAAAAATGACGAAAAAAATGGAATTATTTTAATTTATCACGAACCGAGGAAAGTTATTCCGGCAATGCTGATAGAATCCTTGAAAAAATATAATCTTCTGGAAAGATTTAAACACACCGTAAAAGGATTCGTCAATGGATTCAATGTTGCCAAAATAAAATGCGAAAATTCGATTAGAGCATTTTCTTTGAGGACTTTGTCTCGTGTTTTACTGAATCAAGTAAGAACTTTCAATTTTAACTATAATGTGCTAGTCAGTGCGAAATATTTCTTGTCCAAGGAAATTGCAAACTTTATTTTTCCCGGGAAAATTAACTTTTATTAAGATTTTCAATGTAATTTCTTCGTTTTCAATTCGTGTTTTGAATTTGAAATTACTTGGAAAATTGAAAAACTTTTAAATGAAAATAATATCGTGGAATATTTGTGAAACCCCGTTAAAATTGTTTATTAAATTAGTATGAAGTCCATTTATCAATTTAATACAAAATAAGTTAAATTTCAATTTTTTGGATTAATTTCATAATTATTTTAAATGCTTCTTTAATCGACAAAACTGCAAACTTTATAATTTGACATCTAGAAAATTTATTTTTAATAATATTTCTATTTAAATATAAAAAATTTTCCAATTTAAGAGTGAAAATTTTCTTCGAGAAACTATATATTTGCAAGGAAAGTTAATTTATTTGGGGATTGTTTAAAAGGAAAAGGAACTAGATAATGCAAAAGACAGAGCCTGTTTGGCTTTGGAAATAATTCATCATTTAAATTCTTTGGAAACTGTGACTGGAAGCGACGGAAACGGAAGTGGCGATGGTGGCGACAGTGGCACAAAAAGTACTATAATAGAATTTATTAGTGAATTTGTTCAACCAGTAGAAATCGAAGAACAAGAATATGCAGGTAAATAAATTATATTATTATTAATTAAATGATTTAAAAATGAAATGTACAATATTTTGAGATTCGTTTAGTCCTTGTATAATTTTTCTATAACATTAATACAATTTTTTTTTATTCTAAAATAATATTTAAAGATTGGTAATTTTAAATATGTTGGATTTGTTTTAGAATTGAAAATAGTATTTGAAAGGCAGAATAATTTGAGGCCCATTTTCGGAGTCCTATTTCGATTAAATCGACGGGAACGTCAACATGCTAGTCCTTTAAGAAGACTACTGGCCGAAGCAGGAATTGAATATTCCCAATTGCAAGTTAGTATAATTTATAATAAGTAATAATTCTCTTCTATTGATATTTAATCGCAATCTTTACAGAAATTAAATTAAAGAAAAGGTTTAGAGCAGTGGTATCAAACACACGGCCCGTCAGATCTTAAAATGCGGCCCTCGGCCAGAAGCTTAAAATTGATTTTATTGAAACTTTTATATTCGGTAATTCATACATATGCAAATAATTATTTTCTCTTTTAAAGACTAATAACACTTTGTACAGAGCGAGATTAACAAGTGAGCATTTAACATCTGTATTAATTAATTTCTGTCAAAAGATACCAAGTTATTAGTAAATGAAAAATATTAATTTTCCTACTTTCTCTAATTTCTAACCTTGTTATGACATTTGATAGTAATACCTATAACCAATGTATTTTTTCATGCATAACTTCATAGTTTGTGTAAATGTAAACAGAAAGAAAAAAGAAGTAAAATTTAAATGAAATTTAAATAAATTTGTTTAAAAATGAATAACAAATTTTAAGAGACCTTTTTTTGACTGAGACTAACAGATTCCCCGAAACTGTATTTGTTGGCTCGTGTTCACATACGAGTTTCACACGACTATTTTAGAGGATAGTAAAATATTAAATTAGTACTTTTTTTAATATAATGAGAAATTCTTATAATATTTTATTGTGATCAGAAATTTACATATGTATTTGTCTTCGCAATTATTTAACTGCAAGCTCTACAGAAATTAAATCGAAGAAGAGATTTGGATACTAGGATACTAAATTAGTATTTTCTTTTTTTAATGTGATTGAACATTGGTTGCAGAAAATTTGTCTAGGTGTGGGGCTTTAGGAGAATTTATTTAGAATTTTATACTACTAATTGTAAATTTTCTAACAGACAATATTTGCAAAAAATGTTATATTTTGTGTATTAGTTGATAAAATAATGATTGGAAATCCAATATAAAATATTCGGAGGTATATGTAGGTCTTATATAATTTTTCTACAATTTAATACAAAATTTTTTCTTGTAAAATAATATGTAGAAAATCTTTGTCTCTTGCCTTTTGAAATTTAAGTAAATAATGATGTACCGCATCATCAATTCATTTCTTTCCATCAAAATCATTTAATTTATGCACTTTCACAATTAATCAATATTTTTAAAATTTAATATAAAACTGCAAATTAAAAAACTTTGTTAACAAAAAACAATTGTTCATTTCATAAAATAATACTTTTAATGCCATTAAACTCTGCGGATTTCCAAAAATAAACTATTAATTCACTAAAAAATGATAAATAACTAATTAAAATGGTTTACCCATAATCTTTAATTTTGAAAGAATGCGGAAATAAATTATTTTAAATTAGTACAAAACAATTTATTATTAATAATTCATCGCCAATAGTATCTGAACAATACGTACCCCAAAAAATTCTAATTTTATATACCATAAATTAAAAAATGTTCTTAATAAGATTGAATTATTGTAAAATATATAAAGATTGAAATGTTACAAACTATAAAAACAATCTTAGAAACCTTAATTCTCATTATATGTATATGGAGATGCTTCAAATCAATTTCATTTCACCAAAATCCTTCAATTATTTATTAATAACGTTGAAAAAACTTAACCTATCAATTTGTTTATCCACAATCTTCAGTTTTGAAAAGAAATTTCAATTTTTATTGCTATAAATTACAAACCCTCAATAAAAACATTTTTTTCTTATTAAATTTTGCAAACCCTCAAAAATAAATTATTAAATTGCTGAAAACGTTATTAAATACTAAATAAAAATTATTAATTTCTAGGAAGCTTGGATCAATGGAAAGAGAGAAGGCCTAGAAAAATTGCTCAAAGAGAAACTAATAACAGAAGATAAGAAAATGGAGGATTTGCTTATAGTACTTGAAGGTCACTTTGATTCCGACAAAAAACCAAGGTCAAGTTTATCCCAAGATTCGAATAATTCGAGAATTATTGACGACAAGGAAAACAATAACAATTACGATTCTGACCAAGAAAGTCGAGATTCTACTTTAAAAAGAAAAGCAGAGGCCAAAATTAGTGCAATGATAGCCGAAAAATGATGTGATTAATCCCTCCAGTACCTTTTAATTAATTAGATCCAAACTAATTAAACAAAGAAAAGTCATTCCGTTTATTTTTACAATGAAAAGTGTTATTTGTTGCAAGTATTCTAAGTTTTATTTTTGTTTTGTTTTAAGTATAGAGTTTATTTAACAAATGTACAAATAACACGTTAATTATTTTTATAACAATAAGTTTAATTAATTATGCAAAATATTATTTTTTTTTTTGCCTAATATAATAGGTTATTCCTTTCTTTTTTGTAATGAAAAATGTATATTTTTTACGAAATTTCACTTAAATAATTGAATAAAAACTTGAAAATTAAAATGTGTTTGGTCTCCATTTTTTATGGAAGATTTTGTGTTTTCGCTTTTATTTTTGTTGAAGATTATAGGTTTTGCATGTATTTAGTCTCTATTTTTTATAGAAAATCGTGGTAATTATATGGTTTTATGTTTTGTATTTGTTAGAAATTTTTTTTGCAAATGTTATAATTGATTAATTAGGAAAATTAGTTTATAATAGGAAAAAAATTGAGAGTTTCTGGTAATTTGTTAACTGATTTCATATGTGAATGTCTATGCAGTGGACCGTTGTTTCCGCTTATGGCTTTTCATAGAGCGTGCCGAACGACGCGAACCGTAAAGAGTATACATAGTGCGTAGCATAAGCGATAACTGAGTTTGAGAAAAATTTGAGGATGGATTATACGGGATTAAGCAAATTTTTTAGTGATTCACGGAGTTTTCTTTAAAAGGGAATTTTTTTACTTCTTTTTCAGCGGTATAAATCGTTGAAATTTGTTATTTAGTATAAGTTTTATACTGAAATTATTATAGTTTGACGAGGAAGAAAATTTTAATGTATTAGGTACAATTTTATTTCGTAAATATTATTAAGCATGATTTAACCTCAGAATACAGAAATAGTGAGGTTAGAAAGTTCCGACGATTAAATGAATTTTTAGAATAAACTGGTATTTTTAAATCTCAGAAACAGGATTTGTTCAGTTTATGCTTGTTTCGTAAAGACGTATGGTTTCTAGTTCTCGAACTACCTATAAAAATTGTAGATTCTACAAAATTGCGATTTTTTTCAATTTATTTACAAAATTTCTGTGGCAAAATGGTTTTCTCATTCCTAAACTAGGAATTAAAACACAAAAGCGTCGTTCATTGATTTCTTTCTATAGAAATTTCTATTTAAAAATTATCCTAAATAATAAATAATATTTACTATATTAATTCTCAACATAGTACCAATTCAAAATATAGAAGATTATTTCAGTATATTATTAATTATCATGATACTTTTTAATTAGAATCTTCCAGCAAAACCGAAACTAATTAATTTTTCAAACCGTATGATAAAAGCTATGCAATTAAAGAAGATTCGCTCGAAGAACTCGTAAATTACATCCGAAACAAAAGGAAATGAAGTAATCAATTTGGCGTAAAAATTATGCTTTCTATACATTCCTGGAAAACCGCTAATTAAATTTGTTTTATAAAATCTTTATTTTAAATAAAATAAGGATTTATGATAAACAAAAATTGAACAATTCAAAACTGAAATGAAAAAAAAATATAAAAATGTTTATAAAAAATTTTCAAGCTTTTTAAAGGGTCCAATTTTTTAAGGATGCAATTCTTTTTTTTTCATAAAAGAAGATCGTAATATAATTTACAACAAATTGTGATAAAACAAAGGATTTCCATTTGTGGACTGTTTAGAATTAAACAATTACTACAAAATCTTAGAATTTTTAAATTTTTTACGTGTTTCATATTTCCTCATTGTGTTAACAAAGATTATGTCAATATCTATAACAGTATTTTGGCAATCTTTTAAGTTTCACCACCCACGACTTCCATTTCGTCCCAAAAAAAAGTTGTTTGCCTCTCACTACATATTATGTTCTAAGCCTAAATTAAAATAGTTTCTGAATTTTAAATAAATTCAACATTTAAAATGTCATATAACAATCTTTCAGTGCAATTGTTTAAATGATACGAAGAAAATATAATTGTTTAAAATTGTTAAGTTTGTTTATCCATAATTATTAAATATGGTTTATAATCATCAACGGAAGGAACATTTCGATTATAGTCTTCGAAATTATGCTACTATGGCTTGCTTCAAGCAGTTTCAGTAATAATAGTCGACCGTTATCGTTTGTCACGCTTCAAGGCAGAAAATGTACCCGTTAGGGTGAGCATGAGCGCCGCCATTGCCATAATTTCGTGCCACAATAAAGGAAGAAATCATTTCATTCGTAAAACCTTCGTCAGCCATTTTAAAAAATTTGTTTAAATTCTATCAAAGATTTTACAGTATTTAATTACTTCAGTAGAATAATTATGGCCATTGGCTATTTGTTATAAACTAACGAGAAAAAATGTGACAAATTAATTTATAACATAATTTTGCTTTTGAGAGAAAAAGACTTCCATTGTTTGGAAATTTGATCGAAATTAGAAATTAGTAATTGAAATAGTATAAAATAGGCCAATTCTTGTAAAATCTTTATAAATAATACTTTTGTGCGTACAACTTTCTACAAAATTCCAATATGAATTAACTCTGATCTATCTTGCAATTTATAATATAGTATATTACAGTCTTTGAGAAATTAAATCGTAATTTTTTTTCCAAGGGAAAAAGAGGTTATGTTCTTGGAAAATGGGCCAATTTAAAGCCAATAATTACCAAGAAAATTATGAAATCGAGGTTCCAAAACACGTAAATAATTGCCCAAAGTGCAGAACGATACAAATGCAATCCAAAATGGAAGTCGTTTTGCCAGCCTCAGATGGAATCCTAACGGACGAGCAATTTTCCCGTAGAATTTCGACGCGTATGAATGCGTGACATAGCACTATGCTCTGTTAGGTACTCTTCCGACTGACAGCTGCCATAAATCGCTTCGAACGACGCCATCTCGCTTTTTATGGAAGCATCTGCGTTGAAAAGAACGAAAAAGGAAATTCAACAAAACTGAAACTTCGGTTTTCTCTACAATATTTCAACTTTGTAACCATAAACGCTAATTCTGATTTATTCGAGTCAGGTTTGGGTTAAGTAATAACATCAAACTGTAAGTTTGCAATCTCTATAGTGCATTATCTTGCAATGGAAGCTTTAAGTATTAAATTTTGTGACAAATTGTGTCTAACTAATATAACATTCGTTTCTTCTTTTAGTAATTATATAACAATTATTTTTTACTTCTATATTAAGTGTTATAATAAATTTAAAAATGATCGTCAAATCAGCAATTCTTGGTGAAATTAATTTTAAAACATTCTATTCCCAATAAAAACAATTTCTTCTGGATTTAATTATTTATTGAAATAAATTCTCTCGTTACGTAGGAAAAATATTTTCTCCTTTTAAATAGTTTCAACTTCGAATCTGATAACAAAGACGCTCTATAAATTATTTACCTCTTTCCTAACTCTAACTCTTTCCGTTATCTTCCAAGTAACAAAGGGGACGTTGATACTGACCAACTGGATAGAAACCAACACCCAGATGGCGCAACTAAACCGTCAAAACATTATATGGAAATTGCAATATACCCCACCTCATATTTTGGGTCTACACAGTGTCCCATACAACTGTATGCAAACAAATGTCATAATTATATCATAATATTAAATTATTATATATCGGTTCTATATTAGCTAATATTGTAACTAATTACCAATTGCCATATTAATATTGTAACTATATGGCCAAGAACAAGAATCCTTCGAAAGATAGGAACACGATAATATAGGAGTTTGCTACGGGTGAAGTACCATCAAAGTTCTCACGTGATACACTGTTAGAACTAATTAATAGCGAATAAGAAACAGACAACATGCTTCAATTTAAAAAGATAGAAACCACTTCAACAGTCAGAAGTATAATTGATGCTCCTGGTCCATTAGGCAGAAAATAAAGGTCACAGACTAATGAGTTTACAGTTAGTACTGATTCTTCTGGCGAATCTGGTGTCAGAGTTGTTAATTCTTTCAATTCAAAATAAAACATATTAACATCTTCACAAACTCAATAAGGGCTAAGAACCGTAACGAAATCGATATATCCATAACAGTTGTAATATTTTTCCGATTCTTATGACTGTTTCAAGAATCAAAATCGATACCGTAACTGTTTTCAACCCTTGGCTATTAGTGTTCAAGACGTTCAACAACGTATTCGTTTAGACAGTAATAGAAGACCGTTTGAACATTTATTGTGTCGTGAGTGTCGCATAACGTCTGTAAAGTACGCCAAAATAAGTACATTAATACTTTTTTTATAAAGATTTAAAGACTGCATCGAATAGTTCGATAAAAATTGTACGATTCCATTCAGAAAAGGAATACAGTTGCAGTTTTTGGATACATAAATGCATCAAAATGAATAAAATTACATTCAGCTTGTACATCATTCGATGCCGTTTACTTTTGCCTTACAACATTTTTCTGTATTTGTAACCGTTTTAGAGATATAGCTTTCCCCATTATCCGTGGAACACCCCGTATAAACTCTCGGATTTTTACCATATTAGGATTAGAACAGTACCGCTACCCGCAGGGTATACATATACTCGAGTGAACGAGACGAGTCATCGAAGAAAAACAAAGAGTTCGTGTGATATCAAAGGACATTTTGGCCGAGGGCACACAAAAGCGTCGAAGCGACGATCTATGTTCTTCCTTGTCTTGCAATTGAAAAGACATAGGAACGCCGATCTTGTCTGTCTTCGTTGTTTTTAATTGCAAGACAAGGGAAGAACATAGAAATGCACGTCGCCTCGACGCTCCTGTGTCCCCGGCCTTGCGACTCATATTCAGAATCGTTTGTTTACGTTTGCTGAGTCGTCTCGTTCGCCCGAGTATGTATACGTTGCATGAGATTGGTCCTCGCTCTTAGTCGCCGCATCACCAGTGCTTCAGCAACGAGCAACAAGTTAGTAAGTAATTATTCGTGACAAAACACACTGTACACTTGTATAAAAAATATAGAATTCTATTCATTTAATAAATGACTAAATCACTTAATAACCCATCGTCTAATAAATCCATCGATAATAAAACTTTATTAGCATTGGCATGATTATCTAGCGTGATCATCTACCTCCCATACAGGGTGTCCAAAAAGGTTGAGTCCAAATTTATATTACGTGTTACTAAGGTCAAACAGATGGAAAAAGTTCATACAAACTTATGTCCGAAATTGCTTTTTTGAAAAGATAGAAGCTTTTAAATATATTTATGATTTATTGTGGCCGTTATAAGAAACGTTCGAAAATTCCTTCCTATGCGATAGGATGGATCATATTATAGGAAATAATAGTAAATGCATTTTGAGTACACTCCCAAAGTTGATCTTTTTTTTTATCGTATTTTATCTTTGACGTAATTGACCTCCGCAACCGAAAATAATTTTTCCAGAACGATGTGAAATTTTTTAATTTAATTGTTAATAACTTTTTAACGAAGCCTCAAACAACAAATTGGTATTCTTGATTTTCGTCTTATTTTAGCCTCTAGAATCTCACATTAAAATTTTTCCCAGGGGTGGCCGAACACCCTGTATAGTGCATATGTAGATATGTATTATGCAATTTTTTTTCGATGCTCAAATTCATTTTAACACTCTGACTGCCGCGTCACCCATATATGGGTGACTGGATTTATCATTACGATACTAGAAAAATGAATTTTCAAGTGAGGACGTTGAGGGAAATACATTTGGATCGAATTTGTGAATTTTAATAAGGTTACGAAAATAAGTACCGAAATAAATTTTAGGTTATGTAGTTTACAATGGTCTAAAATCAAAATTTTACGTTTGCAGAATATTATACGGTTTTGTACTAAGGAGTGAAAATTAACTCTTAAATATTCGGCTAATTTTTTTTGTGTTGCTATAATTCCCAATCTGTACGAGATAGGAAAACAGTTTTCAAACAAAAGTCGCTTCTGTCATTTAGATCTGCTAGATGGTGAAGGATTCTTGAATTGTTTAAACAATTAAAAAAAAATTATAAACTAAAATTAATATTTGTTTAATTCTTTATTTTCCACGTGGAATTCTAATGGTCCAAATAGTTATGAACTACATAAGTAATATATTTTTTTTAACACATATGAAAGATTTCATTGCTGAATTGTATTCGTTGTTAGTCGCAGAACTCTTCTCTGATCTCATTGTATCATTCGAAAATAAATACATACAAGATAATGCAGTCATGATAACTTACTGCATTAACCTTTTTTTGTTATACTGGAGCAAGGGATACTAGTTTCTATAATGTTGAATATGAGTAATAATGAAACCTCTATTAATCGAAGAGAGAGGGAGTTGCACGGTATAATAAAACATATAATTATTAAAGCGCAAGAAGACACTTCATTTTCGGTAGAAATTGTGGCATTAGAATTTTCACATTCCGATCCGATCACAAATACATGAGATAAGATAATGCTGAAGATTATAATTTACGACATTTCTGTACTCTGTGATGCGAACTGTTTCCTATTAAAATATTGCTTCTCCTAACACTTACGAGTGTTGCAATGAGATCGAAGAAGAATTCTTCGACTAACGACAAATACAATTCAGCAATATATTACTTATGTAGTTTATAACTATTTAGATCATTGTAATTCCACGTGAAAACTAAAGAATTAAATAAATATTAATTTTCGTTTATAATTTTTGTTAATTGTTTAAACAATTAAGAAATCCTCCACCATCTAGCAGATCTAAACGAGAGAAATAAGTTTGGTTTTTGGTTTTTTGTATTTATGAATTTTACAATGAATATTGTTACACGGTCTATTTTCATTTTTTTCCTCCTCTAACGCGTTGTTTTCTGACTCTAATATTTTCGTAGACTCTTCTTCTGTTTTTTTTTTTTATGCTTCACAAATTGGTCTGCGGCTTTTACAAATCAATACCACAATAATGGGGGAGGATCGGTGCTTTAGGATCGATCACTATGCCTCTTAACTTCGCGTTTCTTACGAGGGAAAATTTTCAGAACCACTTTGCACACCTAATCCAGACCACAGCGTGTTCGGTCACCCTTGGGAAAGATTTACATGAGCGATTCTAGAAGCCAAAATAGGACGAAAATCAAAAATACGAATTTGTTGATGGAGGCTTCGTTAAAAAGTTATTTACGTTTAAAGTTCCGCCCGTACTAAATATTTTTCTCGAAAATGCGCATTCCGCATTTCGGGGGTATGTTTATTCACCAAAATGATTATAATTGATCCCAGCAATCAAAAATAATTTTTTTAGAACGATTTAAAATTTTTTAATTTTGTCGAAAAATTTCACACCTCCTCGAATTTTTTTCTAGAAACTGGGTAAGATTTCGGGGGTATGTCTATTCACCAAAAATGATTGTAATTAACCCTCGCAACCAAAAATAATTTTTTTTAGAACAATTTGAAATTTTTTTTCGCCGAATTTTCGAGTGTCACTTCTGGCCCGAAATTAGATTTTCGGTAAGGAATTTTTATCTCGAAAACTCGTAGGATTTTGGGGGTATGTGAAATGACCAGAAATGATTGTAATCAACCCCCGGAACCAAAAATAATTTTTTTACGATTTGAAAAATTTTTTTTCGCTGAGAAATTTCAGCACCTACCCGAATTTTTTTCTCGAAAGTGGGTAGGATTTCGGATTTTGACTCCAGGAAGCTCTGGAATCGCAAAACGATTAAGCGAATTGCTTAGACGGTTGCTGACTTTCTCGGTGCGTTGGTTTTTAGGTCAATGCCGCAACAAAATGAAGAATGAAGTCTCGTACAAGAACAGAATCTGTAAAAATATACCTCAACATTAATAATAAATATTTATTAACTACTTTTGAAACTTTTTCCACGTTGGAAATTAAATTTACGCTTTAGAAAATTATTTCACATCTTTACTCTACAACCAACGATAATAGAAACCAATAAACTTTGCTTTTAAATAAGTTTTCAACGAAGTGACAAATTTATTAATTTATCTGAATTATATTATTACAATTTTTAGTCAATTTTCGACCACTTAATTTTCTTACTGAATTTATCATTGTTTGATTAATCGAAAAAATAGAAAATTTTCAATTCTTACAACTTAATATTTCAATTTTTCACTTTGAAATTTTCAAAATAGTTAGTAAATATTTTTTTAAAACACAGTCTGATGAGAAAATGTTTCATATAAAATTAATTATTCTTATTTTTATAAGATAAGAATCTGCAAAGAAAAATATAGGTTTCTATTTCAAAAAACTAAGGTGACTTTAAAATGGCCTTGGAAACACTTAGTAAATAAAAATTAAATACTACGGATTTATTTCCCTTCCAAAATCAAGAAAATTTCATTCCAAACATTTCTTTTAAAAACACACCGTTTCTAAAATGTTTCAATTCTAAAATTCCAAAGTTTCCCTACCAACAATTCAATTTTTCAGTTAAAAAAAATAATATTTCCTTTCCAATAAAGCATCTCAAAACACCAAGACATAGAAGCCATTCATTTCTATGTCTAACAATTACGTAAAAAAATTATGAGAAAAATTTTCTTCGTCCAAGTTAGAAGTTGTAAATTTTTATAAACTGTATTTTAATAAATGAAGATATTTAATATTTTAATGCGGCTATGGTTTCCTAGGGGTGTCCATGGAGTCCATAGGTGGCGTTTGGGGATGTACAAGTATCGAGGTTTAGTGTGCGGAGCTGATGGTGAAGTTAAAAATAGAAACCTCGAAAGTTGTTCGAATCTTTCGCTACTGGCGAGTTATGGTTGTTAGCGGAGGCAGCGAGCATGCATTAACAGTACTCTGGACGGGCCGGTGGTTCTCTGATCCCTCGATTTCCGCCTCCCTACCCCCATGAAAGACGCTCGTCGAAGAATTCTCAATGCACGCGACTCAGTTCCTCGAGAAACTTCGTGAAAATTTCATCTTCCTCCACGAAAGTGTGTGTTTTTGTGTGTAACCATCCACCACCGATCAAACTGCAAATATACCGAAGAGGAATAGCTACAGAAATCATGTTCACTGTCCTTATCGCTGGATTTTGCACGGTTTGTACCAATTTCCCACATTTTGCGCGATTTTCTGTGAAAATTTGAAAAATTGTATGTTCTGAGGGATCTTGTTTGAATTTTATAAAATTTCCCACATTGTTCCGCCATTTTCATTGAAAAGTCGCCACCATTTGCAAAGTTTCTATGTATTTAATTAAACTTCAGCTCGTTATATTCTGCAGAAGTAAAGGTGGGATTATGAGATAGGGTAGAAATATGAGACACTAAGATTTTGAGCCCTATTCAGTACTGACATATACATGAAAACGAAGCACGAAGATCATAGTAACATCATACAGCCGCAGCCATCGTTATGTACCATTATTCATTGTCTAACGAACCCTTATTATTTCTAATGCAACTGAAAGTTTTTGCGCGTAGGTGTTCAAGTGCAATTTCTGTTATTTACTTTGTGATTTAAAAAAAAGAACAGGAAGGTATGTTATTCTATTATAATCGCAGTTTCATAATATTAATGGGGTTTTAAAGTTATTGTGCGTTTAATTATATTATAATGAGAAAGAAATAAAATACGGAGATGGTAGCAATATGAGACATTTGATATTAATGAACCTGGATAGTTTCAATCAGGATCAAATTATGCAGTCTGCATATTTTGCAACAATAAGTTGTCTGAAAACACTAAGGGTGAGCTGTGGATCGAATGTTTGTCCTGTCAATTATGGACCCATTACGATTGTGCATAAAATATAATTGTATTACCATATTTTAGACTTGTATGTTATTAAAACTTTTCTATAAACCCTTTAACGCAATTTCAGAACTTATTTCCCATAAAAGTAATGCTGTTTCATATTACTACCCAATTTTTTAGATGTCCGAATTCATAAGTTTTGTAAGGTCCACAATATTGATACTCACGCATCTTCACATAAAATTCTCTAAATTTATCCATCAAAATTTGTTAATTTAAACTGTTCTGAAAGCCTCTAGGTTAAAAAATAAAAATGCTATCTTACATACCTATCATTTCATCTAGTTATTAATCGAGAAATTGTGATTTTTGTGAGAATTTTATAGTTTACGATCAAAAATCGAGAATTAGCTGCTATTTTAAAGCTGAAAAAGGGAAAAATAAATTAAAAAATGTGATTTACATTATTTTGCAACCAGTGCTAGGAGTGACCGCCATTTTGGAATATTTTTAACCATTTATTTGAACCTTTTTCCATAATTGCTCGAATTTTGAGACTTTGGCTGTTTAAAAATAAATTTCTCAGCCATTTTGAAACATTAAATTCTTCTTCTAAAGGCCATTTTGTTGTTCAATGATTTTTACTCTCGTTCGAATAAATATTTTTAATTGTTCTGTTATCTTATTCAAATTTTCTCGAGATTTTCGCTTCAAAAATTGAAGGAACGACTCCGTCATCATTTTAGAATTCATTTTGGAAATTTTACCGCTGTCATTGATTACCATTAATGATCAAATTGTCATGCCCACAATTTAATTATGGGTGTACGGTGGCCATTTTGTTTTCTTTCACAGCGAGAAAATTGAAATACAGCAATTCTTTCATAACCGCGAGTCATTTTTTATTGGGTAAATGAACGGCAGTCACCCCCACTGCTAAGAAGGAGAGGGCAAGGCCTTTCGTGTCACTGATTTTATTGAAACTTTGCACACTCGTAGATCTAGTCATTTTGTTCACGAATGTATGGCATTATGTGTGTAAATACTCAATGGTTATTACGATATTTATGATTAAAATTTTATTAGACGTTGGAATATAATAACTGATTTTGTTATTATATTTTATATTGATATTGCTCTGTTCTTCGATGTAAGAAATACTTTTGTGTAAACGATGTGTGCGGGAGCACTCTCGTGATGCAAGAGCCAGTTGTCACGCCACAATTCTGGCCTCTTTCGACGAACGTATTCGCGTAATCGTCGAAGCACGTCACAATAAAAATTTGCATTTACCGTTTTCTCAAGAAGAACAAATTCTTTTTATTCCCTAAAATGAAATTAAAACTCAAGGGACTGTGACAAGAGAAAATGATTATCAGAAGGCATTTTAATAATGGGAAAAACATTGTCAAACTTCAAATAATTTATTAATAAAGATCCTGTAATGAAAGTCCGATTTTTTTTATACCACCTCGTATAAACAAAAACAACTTGCTTTGCAAATAAAGAAAAAATACTAAAATAGAAAATCTTTCATGTGAATAGTAATAAATAAGATTTTGTTTTTACTATACAATGACAAATAAATGTAAGATATTTTTGTTAAACGAAGATACTGTAATTATAAAAATATTCAACCGAAAGTTTTTATACATGATATCCATTAATTAGAATAGATAAAGGAAAAAAATGTTGCACAATCGGGAATCGAACCTCAGCCTATGGCGTGGCATTCTAGTGCATAATATAATCACTAACACAACACTATAACAAGTTTTTAAAATGATGCAGCTATAATTATATTTCAACATATAATATAATTTTAATCATAGAATATCTGCTCCCATAATACTATACATTCCCGAACGCAATAACTAGATCTATAAGTGTGCAAAATTTCAATAAAATCTGACTCAATAAAAAATGACTGGCAGTTATGGAAGAATTGTTGTATTTAAATTTTTTTGCTTTGAAAGAAAACAAAATGACCACCGTACACCCACAATTAAATTGTGGGCATGGCAATTTGATCATTAATGGTAATCAATGACATCGGTAAAATTTCCAAAATGAATTCTAAAATGGTGACGGAGTCGTTCCTTCAATTTTTGAAGCGAAAATCTCGAGAAAATTTGAATAAGATAACAGAACAATTACAAATATTTATTTGAACGAGAGTAAAAATCATTGAAAAACAAAATGGCCTTTAGAAGAAGAATTTAATGTTTCGAAATGGCTGCGAAATTTATGTTTCAACAGCCAAAGTCTCAAAATTCGAGCAATCACGAAAAAAAAGTTCAAATAAATGTAGTTTAACACGTTCACTGCCAGATCAAACCTGTATAATATTCTGCATAAGTAAAATTTTGATTTTAGACCATTGTAAGCTACATAACCTAAAATTTGTTTGAGTACTTATTTTCGCAACCTTGTTTAAATTCACAAATTCTATTCAAATATATTTCCCTCAACGAGAATTAATTTTTCTGGTATCATAATGGTAAATCCTGTCACCCATATATGGGTGACGTGGCAGTCAAAGTGTTAAATTAATTTTGATTGCATGTGCAACAACACGACACGCTAAGAAATTCGACGCGACGTAGTGTAACCTGATTCGGGCTAATATATCAATAACACAATTATACAGGGTGAGTCGGTCACTATTGTGCTCACGCGATACGGGCTTTGAAGCTCATTCACTTTTGTATTTTGCTTAACCCCTTCCCGTGGCATTTAGCTCGACGAAATCCGGGCCCAAGCGGGAGGCGTCAACGCGCGGTAAACAGACCAGACTGATGCTAACACTGCTTTGTAACAGAGATTATAAGAATCGTGACCAATTCTTGTGGCGTACCGATAGGAACTAAAACTCAATGACGATCGTGGTTTGCTGTCCGCGGGCCAGACTTGTGATATTCACGTCTGGGCCAAAATCTTCATCACGAGTCAGACTCGTTAAAGTACGGGAAGGGGTTAACAAAACTTTACCAACGTATTTCTGAGATTTTTTCAGATTAAAATAGGACTATGCACGATATAATTTGGATAATATTTACCTATTAATATTAATTGTATATTATCACTCACTAATATGTAAATATGGCTCAAATTATATCGTGTTCGGTCTTATTTTAATAAAAAAGAAACTCGCAAATATATTGATAAAGGTCCCAGTAATAAAATTAAAATGTTTCACATCGTTTTATTCTTGTCTATCCTTCATTTACTGTCCTTTTCTTACCTTCTGGGAACTGAAAATTAACGCAGTTATCCAAGCATTGTTGTACAATTAAGAGATCTCGAATTTAAAAGCTTTCAAGCTCGGAGCACGAAATTCCAGACAGAACTATCCAACATGACGACCGGAATTCCACAGACACTATCTTTTAGAATTCTTTTCTATCGCTTCAAAGAATTTTGAATTTTGATTTACAGCGTAACAGACTGTTCTAGGTTTTCAAACGGCATCTCAGAAGTCGAATCCTCTTTCTTTGAAGCTGTAAAGAACAGAAAAAAGGACACTGATCGCAATCGACTACAAAATTTGGAGTTTCGTAGAAGCTTAATTTCCAAACTGACAGACTTCCCTTGATGATTGGGCTGTCCTTCCAGGTTGCGGCCACTGTTGCTCAGGATTACGAGGTGTCTGAGATCCAATGCAGCGGTGCAGGATCGGCCGCGGATCTTCTGACGGCGAAGATCAAAAGACCGATGAGTTTCAGGGGGGTGCCGCTATTCGCCGACGACAGAGCTGCCAATCCCCTCACAGACGTCCATTGCCAGATCAGGCCTGACCCCAGCGACACCCAAGAAGACAACTACTTCCTCAAGGTCACCGATTTCACCAGATGTGGCATCCTAAAGAGAAACGTAAGTCTTTTCATCGATACTAGTGTGGAGATTAGTTTGATTAAATGTAACAACAAAAATGTTAAATTCTCTCTAGACTGATTCTTGCACAATTTTTTCAAACCTTATACCCCTCTTATCAGGTTCACTCTCTTCCACTCTTTCTCTCACTCTATTTCATATTTCGAACGTTCGGTTATGTGAACATCGCGATAAAGAATGTTATTGAAAATCGGTTTATGAAATCCTTCACAGTATATACCAGTTCAGTATACTATCTATTCCTATCGAAATATTAATGGGTTGTCGTGTTTTTCATAAACTTCAAAGTCTTTAAATGAGATTTGCACATACAGAGTGTTCGGACACCCCTGGGAAAAATTTTAATGGGGGATTCTAGAGGCGAAAATAAGACGAAAATCAAGAATACCAATTTGTTGATGGAGGCTTCATTAAAAAGTTATTAACGTTTGAAGTTCCACCCATACTGAATTTTTTTCTCGAAAATGCGTAGAATTTCGAAAGTATGTCTATTGACCAAAAATGATTGTAATTGATCCCCGCAACTGAAAATAATTTTTTTTGGACGATTTGAAACTTTTTTTTTCGTTGTAAAATTTCACACATTCTCGAATTTTTTTCTAGAAAGTGGGTAGGATTTCGGGGGTATGTCTATTCACCAAAAATGATTGTAATTAACCCCCTCAACCGAAAATAATTTTTCCAGAACGATTTGAAATTCTTTAATTTAATTGTTAATAACTTTTTAACGAAGTCTCAAACAACAAATTGGTATTCTTGATTTTCGTCTTATTTTGGCCTCTAGAATCCCCTATTAAAATTTTTCCCAGGGGTGGCCGAACACCCTGTATATGTATACGTATGTAATTTATAGTTAAGATATAACAAATAAAACAATTAATAATTAACAAAGTGTGCATTTGCCACCAGCACTAGTAATACTTCCAAACAGTACTCTGCTTTGTGAGACACTAGAAATGCAAATTGTTTATAAAATTATTAAAGCGAACTAATAATGGGTCAATTCACACCAAATCGACCACTTTTCCCCCTCGATTCCTGGGATTTTGTTTACAATTGAATATGAAGTTTCGAATTTGTTTAAAAACTATAGGCCTTTGAAATTTACGACTTTTGTGAAAATGAATTGTGCTTAAGAATTTTTATTTCGAAAACTATTTGTCGTGTTGAAATGTACTTTTTCAGTTTTATTTGGAAAGATTGGCTTTTCTGAATAAATTTTGCCCATAATAAATTGGAAATTAACTTGAAATCGGCCGGAAGGTCAAAAAATACAATTTTATACATTTCTATCTCCAAATTTTTTCTATCTCTTTGTAAAATTTTATTTAAATGAACAGAATTATAATATTCGTTTAAAAAGATGAGTTCATAGTGAATTTACTAGGGAATATTGTAATTTTTTTAAATTCCATTGAAAATGCGAAATCGAAGAGTTATTCGAGTTCGTTTGGTTGTTTTGTATGGAAAATGATGGTTTTACTGATTTTAGGGTTTCATTCACTTACGAATATGGTTCCCCACGTTCCCTGGAGTCGTCATGTTAGCCGACCAGGAGTTGATCCTTATGTGTCGACCACCGGAACCTACGTTACTTCGACACAAAGCTGCTGGATTCGCTGGAACCTTGTGAGTCTTTTTCTCTACTTTAACTAAGATAGATTTATAATTAATACTAATTTCTCTAAATTAGATGACAAATTATTGAGGGCAGTTATTGGTTTTCTTAGGCCTTACGTTTTTTCGATTTTCCAAGCTTCTTTCGTCAAAGAAATTATTTTCCCTGTCGTAAATAAACAGTCAAAATCTCACAAAACCCACTAAATCCCGGAAAACCTGAATTCTCCCTTTACCAAGTGATTCTCAGTCCACACGATCACTATACTTTCCAGCCCACACGGAGCCCGCGTGTCTGGTGTAGTGGAGGAGACTCCGGGTCGTCTAGAATACGAAGTGGCCCTCTATCGAGAGGCCACGGGCAACTCTTCAGACTCTCAAGGATCCCAAACCGTGGACCAAGCGGTCCCTATCGGAACAAAGCTACAATTAAGAGCCAGAATCAGTCCTGACAGTGCTTGGGGCTACGTGAAATTGTTAGAAGTTACTGTTAGTCCGGATCCTGACCAGCCACACGCCCCAGGAAGCGTGGTTCTTGTAAAAGACGGCTGCAGGAATCGAGACTTCGCCTCCATAATCCCTCACCAGCCCGCTAGGTACAGGGAGAGGAAGAATGAAGTCTTTTTGGACTTTGAAGCATTTCTGCTAAGCTCTATGAGGGAGAGATCTACTCTGTGGATCCATTCGCAAATCAAGGCTTGCATGGAGCCGCAGGACTGTCAACCGGTAAGCTCTATGATTCTGGAAGAGGTTAAAAGAGGGAGTTCCAAGATAGAAATAGGGGGTTTCAAATCTAAATAGGAAGTTCTATTGTAAGTTTTAAAAAGAAGGTTCGATTGTTTTTACTTTTTCAGAGCTCTTATCACCATAAATTAGCTAAAAGTGTCTCATAATTCGAATGATCGAAGATAGAAAATTAAAAGTTTTTGTTTTCTGTTAAATAAGTGGTGTAGGACGTATAAATCGTATTAGGGGCCTATAATATGGCCAGAAAAAGCTTTCAAATGATTTATACTAAATTTACATATTACTAACTGCTTTTTCGGTTTTATCGAGGAACATCATTTCAAACATCGTTTGAATTAAAGTACGAAATATTCGTTTTTACAAAAAAACTGAAAGTGACTTTGAAACCTTCAGGACAAAAAGCAGTTACAAATAAAAGTATAATTATTTAAAAACTCTCACTGAACAATGTTATACAAGACAGAAATCTTTTCGAACGATCCACTAGTAGTAGTAGTAGTATGTATTTAATGTTCCCCTTAGGGTTACATATCTCCTCTCCTTTCCCTTACAATTCCTCCTTACACTATCTTATTCTCTATCTTCACCCCATCCTCCCCTCTCCTTCCCTCCGCTTAACCTACTCTTACCCTAGCCTTAACCTACATGCCTTGCCCGCTCGCTATTCTCGCTTCGCCTCGCCTCACCACGCATACGCTCGCTTCGCCTCTCTTTGCCTCGTTTCGCCTTCTATTTTCTATCCTTAAAACTACCTTAACATTACCTTAACACTACGCCTCCGCCTTTCCACGCCCGCCTCCTCCGCCTTTGACTTCCATTTCCATACTTTCATTCCACTCCTTCTTTCACTCCTTCCTCCTTTCCTACCTCCCTCCTTCCTGAACTCTCTCCCCCCTTTCCTCCTCTCTCTCTCTCCTCTTTTCCTCCAGTCTTTTCATCCATCCCTCCCCTTTCCCTTCTTCGTCCAAAATTTCCCTTATCTTTTCCCCAACCCCCTTTTCCTCTGCCTCATCCCCAACACACCGATCCAAGACGTGCTCCCACGTCTCTTCTTCCCCCCCCCGCACATCCTACATTTCCTCTCTTCCTCCTCTTCCCAATATCTCCCCCCCCCTCATCTCGTTCCCCAGCCTATACCTCGCCTCTCCCCACCCTGCCCTCAAATACTTCGGTACCTCTTCCACTACGATCTCCCTGTACCACTTATTGTACCTGGACTGCCTTATCCTGGCTCTTCTCTCCTCTTCCTGCCTCCTACCATCTTGCTCCCCCTATCCCTCCGACTCCTCTCGCCCTCTTCTCCCCTCCCCTCCTTCCCATATCCCTCTCTCCCTTCTGTACTCCATCCTTTCTCTCTCCCATGCCGACAGTTCCACCTCCCCTTCCCTTTCCCTTTCCCTCACCTCCACCAAGCACCACCTGGCCATCACCCCTCCCTCTCCCCTACCTAGTTTCTCCTCGTAACTCCATGCTCTTTCTCCTGCCCCCGCCCTCAACTTCATTCTCTTCGTCTCCTCTCTCACCATATACCCCGGTGTCCTCCAATCCACCCCCAGCGACCACCTGATGTACCTCTCCTGCATTCTCTCCATATCCTCTCTCTCTTTCCACCCCCAAATCTCCACCCCGTATCCCGCCACTGACCACACCAGGGTATCAAACAGCCACATCCTCCTTCCCCAATCCCTCTCAAACTTCCTCTTACCAATCCCCCATACCTGCCGCATTGCCACCCCCGCCTTCTTTACCCTATCCCTAATTTGTGCCTCCTGCCCCCCATTCCTCTTAAACACATCCCAAATACCTAAACTCCTTCACCTCCTCTATCCTTTTCCCTTTCCATCTCCAATCCATCTTCCTTTCCCCACCTCCCCCTTTCTTGAACCTCATCACTTTTGTTTTTCCTACGTTTATCTCCAGCCTCTTTTTTTCCAAATATCCTTCCAACCGCCTGATCATACCCTCCATCTCTTCCTCTTCCCTCGCCAACAACACCAGATCATCGGCATACGCTAGCGTGCAAATCCTCCTTCCCCTCACTTCAACCCCTCCCCACCTTCCTTTCCTGAACTCCTCCTCTATATCCGCTATCAATATATTAAAGAACGATCCACTAGTAGTAGAATAAATTAAACTGATCAAATTACGTGAATCACTCCGAATATTCCAATTTTTGATATGTATACATATGTATACTATATGTATACGGGGTGTTCGACCACTCTTGGGAAAAATTTTAATAGGGGATTCTGAAGGCCAAAATAGGACGAAAATCAAGAATACCAATTTGTTGATGAAGGCTTCGTTAAAAAGTTATTAACAATTAAATTCAAAAATTTCAAATCGTTCTGAAAAAATTATTTTCAGTTGCAGGGGTCAATCACAATCACTTTTGGTGAATACGCATACCTCCGAAATCCTATCCACTTTCGAGAACAAAAATCGGGTAGGTGTTGAAATTTCTCAGCGAATAAAAAATTTTTCGAATCGTTCTAAAAAAATTATTTTCGGTTGCGGGGGTCAGTACAATCATTTTTGGTCATTACACATACCCCCGAAATCTTGGATATTTTCGAGACAAAATTTCAGTACGGGCGGAACTTTAAACGTCAATAACTTTTTAACGAAGCCTCCATCAACAAATTGGTATTCTTGACTTTTGTTTTATTTCGGCCTCTAGAATCTCCCATTAAAATGTTTCCTTGGAGAATTTGCATAATAATCAAACAATATATTATTAAAATGTTTATGCATTTGTTCGTAGGATTTCTGTCTGGACCTGTTCGAACCATCGGGACACGGAAAAAGAAGAAGGAGGTCGTTTGATGAGTCGAAAAAATTTCTTCCCAAACGCAAACGTTCAATAAAAGAGTATAATGACTCTACTGCCTTCACAAAATTCAAAGAAAATATCGAATATACTGTAATGATGCCTAATGGTAAGTTTAAAAATTAATTCTGACACTCTTTTTGGCATTAATAATCTCTAAAATTAATTTTGCATTAACAGATTAATTTTTCATTATTTCTTATAGAATAGATCAATTTTTAAACACTATTTTATAATAAATAAAAAATTTTGTAGAACTATTTTGTAATAAATGAATGGTAATCTTGTTAAAGTAACACATGCTATACATTTTTATTTATACTAAAAAAAAAACAAATATTGAATTGTATAGAAAATAATTTAAAGACTTTTGTGGCTTCGGTTTGACGAGTCTAATTATTTTTTTTTGCAGATTTGTATCAAAAGGTCGCTGCTGGATTGGAGAACAGCTGTGGAAATTTTGTGTACGTCGCCACAGGATTAGGTGTACTCCTGGTTTTATCGGCGCTAATTATGTGTTATCTGGCGTCTCGTTTGCATAATTTATCTTCGACAACGTTGAAAAACAAATCCATCGACGAACTAATTAGAGATCGGGCTAGGAAATATTGTGAATCCACACAGGGCTACACGGGACGATCCACAGTACAATAGTGAAATGTGGTGGGTGTTGATATAACTGATCAAACACACAGAACTATGTAAATAAATAGTATGTGTGTGTGGCAGTCGTAGATGATGTAGGAATAAGTATATTATATTTATAGTAATATATTTGGTTTACGAGAGCAAGATTTTTTATTGCAAAATCAGACTTTATTAATTTTTCTACGCAAATTTATGAGATTATGTGGTTTAAATCGATCTTTTAAAAAACAAAGTATGAATAAACAAAAACGATTTTTTATTAACTTTTTAGAATTTGGAACTTCCTTTGCAATGGAATATTTTTATTCTAATAATTCGAGACTTGGAAAAGAATTTTTGGAAATTTCTAGAACAGTAAAATATATTTATTTTAGACGTTATTTATTAACACAATTTTTATTTATTCAAATAACACGTTCGAATAAATAAAAATTGCAAAATTTTATTCTGGATGGTGAATAACGAATGAAAATCAAGAATAAACATTTTATTCATCGTTAATGAATAAATATCTATCACAATAAGAATTTGTTTGAACGAAAAATTATTTTTATAGGCATTTATATGAAAATTTATTCGAATAAATAATACCATTAATTTATTATGAAAAACAAATAATTATTTCGCGGAATTTTATTATTATTAATAATAAATCTCGTTATTTATTCGAATATATTTAAAAAATACTTGATTAAACAAATTTATTCGAAAAATCATTCCAAATAAATAATTATTCGAATAATGAACAAACTCAGTCGCATAAATAATTATTGGGTTTACTGGAAAATTGTGGTTTCTTAAACAAAAGAAAATAAATATATTTTCTCATTATTTATAAATATTTAATTTACAATATAATTTTCATTCAAGTTAAAAAGTTTAAATCTCAATGGAAAAAAACATATTTTCTTTCATATTTTTGAAACAATTTCCAGTAAATCTAATATTTAAACAATTAGTATATATAACGTATAGTATATTTAACGGTTCAACAAATTTTATACAATTAAATAAATTCACCATACATTACTGTAACATTATTTATAATTGAAAAAATCACAGAGATTTAAATTTACATCAATTAAAATCAAACTCGTCCACCCATCACACGTTTCATAAATCTAACCGCACAAAAGACCATAGTCTTGCAAATTTCATTCGTGAATAATGAATTAGAAATTTATAAACTAACATAATAAATTAATTTCTACACTTCAATTTTTTGAATTGAATTTCAGACAAACTTTTATAAATAAATATAAATTTGTCAAAATTTATTTAAAATAAATATACAATTTTTATGAGTTACTCACAAATAAAATTTGTTCTCCCACACTGTGGAATGTTAATTATAATATTTTACTTTCCACAATTAATTTCCCACTAGCATCCAAATCTCTCCACCACTCTGTGTAAACTAATTATAAATAAAATTCATGCGTGCAGTGCTATTACGTGACCTGAAACAGTGCGTTTATTCATTCAGTAGCAATAAGTATACTCATTATTGTTCGCTGGTTTCTTCAACAATTCACACATAACTTTGACACAATGTACATACACAGAAAACATACACACGCTCAAATATTTATTATACTTGTACTTTAATAATGTACGTTGACTTCTTAGGTTTATTATTTATTGCAAAATAAATTTTCTAAATTATTTTTTCTTGCTCGTAATTATTTCACCGAAACCCTCTAAACCACATACATAAAAATTAATTAATTTTAATTATCATTACACAATCATTCTATTTCATTAAATAAGTTAAATGCGTGCAAATGTTTGAAATAGAATTTTAAAATCGAAATTTCAAGTGAAACAGAGTGTTAAATTAAAATTTTCCCCAAATTCCGTTAATTTAAAACTTCAAATTGAAAAATACTCGATCGATTGATCGAGTTTAATAAAGATTTCCAGCTACGAATCTAAAATTCTACTCGATTGACTAAAATCTGTAATACTTACACTCGCCAATAAAAATATACATGGTTCCGAAGAAATTGAAATTATAAATATCTAATGTGATATATATATTTACAAACCATCTTCAGTAGAACTATTTCCTTTTCTGGGCCTCACGGAAAGCTTCATGGACAGCCAGCTCCTTTTTTTCTTTTCGGAGGTTCCTATCTTCAAATTCCAACCTGGAATTATTAATGAATCTAACGAAATTAATTGTAACACATGCTTTCATTTAAATGCGACAATTTTAATGGAACCTGTCAAAAATAATATTAAATGCAATCTAATAAAACGCAAACATAATTCAATTGCAACAATTCTAATATACCTATGGAGAATAATGCGTTGTACAATTTTTTCCGTCGTCATATCATTCCCACTATCCAACAACTTAAACTTATTCCTCCTTTTCGGTTCTGCATAGGGATCAGAACCATCTTCACAAGGCATGATAGGAGTCTGACCATGGCACACGATTGAAACATCGAAATGCTCCATAAGATCCTGCGTAACTTCATATGGGGCACCAATAACTACCTCGTTCACATACTATGAACACAAAAAATACATTTTCGCACTCTGTAAACCTCAATTTCTCATAAAATCAGAACTCTCACCTTGCAAGCTAGAACGCTGAGTACTCGTTCATGTAAATTCATAATTGGGTGGTTTCCACACTTGTATCGGTTTACCACAGGGTCTGTGTGGAGTCCCACAATTAAATAATCACCTTGTTTCTTTGCAACCTCTAAGAAGTCTAAATGTCCTACGTGGAAGAGATCAAATGCACCAGCCACGTAAACTATTTTGTCTCCAGGCTGGGGACTCTTTCCGTCGCTGAATTGAATTATTTTCTGTGTGGTTGGCAGAAACTGCGAACAGCCTGTCCATGGACTTCGCGCAGTTCGATCCTGCCCCATGAAGTTGCTTGGTTCTTTGTCAACGGTGTATTCGCTGTCGCCTTGTTTGAAATGTTGACGAGTCATCAGAAGCATACGTCCGACCAAGTCTGTCGTTGATACGCCAGCAGTTCGTTGCACTTCTCTACAACGAGAACAAATATTAACACCAATTGGGATTTCTTTTCACTGTGAATTTAAAACGAGTGAATTCTGTTTTAAACGTAAGAACCAATTTCAATAAGTTTCGCTAAGAATTGTGTCTGTGCGGGAACTCTACCTGTAGCGACCAGCTGCTTTTACTAGGTGGTAAGTATCTACTCCATCAGCTGTTATGGTGATGTCATCACCATGGACACAGAAGTCGCAGTTGTATTTGTCCAACGTGTCTAGTGTGGTCACATAGGGGGCTCCTTCAACCACCTCATCCACCCATTTTATCCCACGCACCATTTTGTACCTGGGGAGTACACATAAATTGTGTTCAATGATTTATATTTGTTTTATTTTAGAATTTGGTGAGTTTCTACTAGTTAAATTTGAGCAGCAGAATTTGAAAAATTGGAGTTTAGAGTACGTCGACGACAGTACGTTGGCCTTGCCAGCCGTGCTGAGGGCCTACCGACTTTTCAGCTAGCGAGCCCGCATAGAAAATTTGGCAGACCTCCAAAACCTTCACCCCAGGAAAAACACCAGGGATGCCGGATCATCAGGGCTGGAAAGTTCGAGGAATTCTGGCCCCATGGCACCCCCGCTACGACGACACCCGATGGAGGGAGGATTGGTACAGAGATAACGAGGTGAATGGTCGCGGACGTTTTGGGCAGAACATTGTCGAAAGCGCTATAACGTAGCCATTAGAATATAACAATTTTTGTAATTACAAACAGTTGACGTGTAGGTGTTGAGTTTTCATTAAATCTGTTCATTTTGTTAAACATTGTCAGTTATTAGTCCCCTACCAGGGTAGTCCTTCGGTTCTTAGAAAATATAGTTTAGTCTGCACATCAGGTGCAAGCATCCATATTCAAGCAATTCTTTTAAGCAATTATAGAAATAACAACATGAAATAGGAAGATGTCGGATATTTTGATGGTTTATAAGAGTTGGGCAGTTGAGTTTGTAAAAGTAATGTTAGACTATTTTGGGCATTCTTGTAGCACAAAATAATTGCAAGAAAGCAATGCAAATGGAATATTAGTCTTTCTAGAGCTTTGTTAGGTGCAAAACCCCATTTTGGAGCCACATGCTTTTCTACATTTTGTATTGCAACCTGGCACAATCATGCAACGTTTTGTTGTTTATTGGCTAATTATGACTGCAAGTGCCTTTATAGAGCTACGACTCTAATGAACGTAGTAGAGATAGCTTCTCTATAAGAATACCCGAAAACCTTGAAACCTGTGCACATTGAATTGCTGTACTTGAATATTTTCAATAATGTAACGAATATTTGAAATAATATTATGTTGGAATTAGAAATTGAGGTTTTTTTAAAAACATACCTTTCTTCTTCTGTAAAGACAGGTGGACCTTTGTGTTTAGTGATTTCTGCATCTGTGTGCACACCGACCACCAGATAGTTGCCTAATGCCTTCGCTTGACGCAGGGAATTTGCATGACCAAAGTGCACCATGTCATAACTGTGTCAAAGAAATAATTGTCTTTGAAACAAACAATTTTATAAAAAGTATGACTTTCATTGAGTTCTAAATTTGAAATTTATTAATAATCAACTACATAACACAAGATGCTAATATAATAAAAAATATAGGATCAAATGACACATATAAATACATAGGATACACAAAGAAAATAGGGGTACAACATACTACCATAAAGAAACAACTGAAGATAAAATATACAAAACAAAACATACTAAAAACTACAAAACAAAAGCTATAAACACGTATGTAGTTCCTATCCTGACATATTCATCTGGAATAATACAATGGACTGACACAAAATTGTAGCAACTAAATAGACTAAAACTGTATTATGGGAGATTCAACCATAGTATCAGCCAAATGCAAACTATACAACGAACAGAGGATATGCTTGGCCATGGGGTTGCATTTATCTACTAATAATAATAATAATCCGAAACTCGAAATTTGTAAACTTAGAGACTGGAAATTCAAAACTCAGAGTTTGTAAATTCAGAGATTGGAAATTCAAAACTCGTGAACGATTGAAAATTTCAAAATTCGAAATCTATGAACAATTAAAAATTCAAAAACATCAGTTTTAAATTAAATTAAATTTAGAAATTGGAAATTTGAAGTTTGTAAACGGTTAAAACTTTCAAAATTCTTGACTCAAAATTTCGGAACAATTGAAAAATTTGAAATTTATGAACAATACAAATTTCGAAATTCGAGAATTGTAAGCTATTTAAAATTACTAGATTCGAAATCTGTGAATAATTGAAAATTATTATTATAATACAATGTAAAAACTCTGAACTCTTGAAAATTAAAAAATTTTAAACTCAAAACTCATAATTCGTAAATACTCAAAATATCAAAATTAGCAAACACTTAAAAACTTCAAATTCAAAATTCCTCAACAATTGAAAATAGTATACGTGGGAGTATTGCATCGATTATTCTTGCATCATTACAAAAATACTATAGTCATTAAATTTCAAGGTAACTCACCATCCGTCGCACCATACACGAACTTCTTTCTTTTCATCAGTCATAGTGAAAACTATAAATTTCTAAAACACTATGTGAACTTTTCCTAAAGTAAAATTTTTTTAGGTTAAATACACTAATTCTTTCAACGATCGGTCTTCGTCGAAGACTCGCGCGTAGTGTTATCAGGCAATAGACCGGTGTCATGAGCAATGTAACCAGACGTCAGCCGGTGTCATCAGGGAACTGCCCCTCCACTTACACACTCTGATGCAGAGCTACGTGTACGTGAGCTCCGGCGCTTCGGGGAATAGAGAAAGAAGACGAATGTGAGCCTTTCCTTCTCACTCTTACAATAGTTGAAATCTGACTTGTGTCAACTGGCATACGATTTTGAGTCTCGATTGATTTTTACTTTCTGACCTATGTAGGTGCAAGAAAAGTATCATAATGAAACAAAAATGTCTAAAATGTTTGTTACGAAAATACACGTTTTAAGACCCTCTGATCATATTTCAAATATTAAAAAAAAAAGAAGAAATTTTTGTTCTATGTTCCGTGTACGCGCGTACATACGTATTTTTATTAACACAAATCACGGGAAAAATAGAGTTTTACATTAGGAAGGAAATGTAAAAAATTGTTATTCGAGGTAATAAAAGTAAAAAATCTCATAGATACATCAATTTTGATTAATATACACACAAGATATCGAAATAACAGAATGATTGTTTACTTTTTCAAAGGATATGTTAGGGCAGTTTTCTGTTACGCTGCAATTACAGTACAAGCATCTTCGCGTAAATTATGTATCGCACGACGCCGCGATGTAAATCGCCGTATCATTTCTATGATAACACAACGTTTAAGTGCAATATACTGTGACCTTGTACAAAAATACTTGGACTGTATCGCACTTTTATTAATTATATCCAGTATATTCTTTCTAGATAGCGTTAATATATAGCTGGCCGTTCGATTTATCTCACGTAATTCCTTGTTTATGGTTTTTGATTTCTGTAAATATTATTTTCATTTATTATTGCATGCAATACATATTTTTTTATTTTATTAATTAATATTTTAAATATTACGCGAGATTGCAATTACGTTATACTACGATGTACCTTGTTGCACCTACGATGCAGTATCATAGGAGTGACAATGCGGAACATATTGCGGCGTCGCGCAATGCATAAACACAAAAATGCGTGGCACTGTAACAGCAGTCTAATAGAAACTGACCTACCCTATTTTTTCGAAATGTGAACAATTATGTCATTCTTTCAAAATTAACACGGTTATCGAAAAACTTATTGAAAACAATCATTATTAATCTACTTTTACTAAATATAATTAGTTTCTTTGTTCAGATCATGTTTTATACAAATATTTGCTATTGAAGTGTTACAGCGTGCGTGGTGGTACTGGCCAAGAGTGAACTCTCATTTTAATAAATTTTATTTGTTTACAAATTCTAAATATTTATTTTCTTGTTGCGGCTTGCTGTATGGAAGAATGGTAATCGAGATAACAGGAGTTCAGAAAAAAGGAATAGAGAGGGAAGCGTTTCTTAAATAGTATTTAAGACGACAACTTGTACAAAAACGACAGCTATAAAATTATACCGAAACTGATAGATACTACTAATATCGAAATAAGAATCGTATCGAGATTTGACTAATACCGAGAATAAATAATACCGAAACTGAAATACAAAATTTATATTTCGTTGCGATCTAAATTGGCAATCACGTCAGATCAACGCGACATACCATTCTTCGACGAGATGAAGGCACAGCGTGTATACATCCTCACTTCTGTGCAGTTCGCTGACTCACAGGTGTTGGTCGAAAACGGTCACGAAGATCGGTGACAGCCAATCACCGGACTGCAGCAAGAGTGGGGATGCAAACATGTTGTGCTTTCTTCTCGTGGGACGATACGTAACAATATGATTTAGGTACGTATGCAATGTATAACATTTCGTTTAATGTTTACTTTTCTAGAAAAGATAGAGAAACCGTTAATATGTTTAAAAAGTCAGAAGCAAAGACTGCATTCAAAGGCTCTCGAAGCTGCTGAATCATCGGAGCTCACGTACACGCGGCTGAGCATCAGAGTGTGTAAATGGAGGGACAGTTCCCTTATGACATCGGTCTGCTATCTGATAACAATTCTGTCACATCATTCTGTCTCACTACTTACAATTTCTAATCAGCTGTTCCCCCACTCCTCTATTCGATTAATCGGAACATCCGATTATTAATCGATTTTTATATACATTTTTCGAATTATTCTTATTCAATCGAATAATTTCTTTGAATAGTTATTATTTTTATATTTAATATATTATTACCATTAATAACATTTATTTTTTTATTGATTTGATTACTAAATTGATTATATAATCGATTATACGATTTAATTATTTACTACATTTTGTTGAATTGTTTGTAAAATAATTATTTATTAGTTAGCAAATTAGTGATACTATTTATTTGAATAAATAACAATTTAGTTTATGTATTTATTTATCAATTTATTTGATTATATAACCTATTATACAATTGTATTCGATACGTTCTCGAATTCTATTTAATTGAATATTTAATCCACACAATAATAATTATTTATTATCTATAACAAAATTACTACTAATATTCAAATAACAAAAAAATTTGTTCCAAAAATTTACCAATTTTTGTTTATTCAAACCATTTAGCAAATTATGAATTTCATTACGAATTATTATAAACAAAAAATTCCAATTTCAAAATGAAATTCAGTATTACGCATATATGTATATATTTATTAAATTCCATAAATGTACGATTATTACTTGACTCTAAGGACACATATATTACACAATAATAATTAATAATACACTTGCAGTGTCAGTGCAACGAAGAATGGAATACTTAATTATTTGTTAGACAACATTATACGATACAAAAATATTGGAATAATTTTAAAATCTGCAATGATTGCAATTCTAATTCAAATCGTGCCGATGAAATCAATTATTCATGTAATTATTCTAGAAACTGAAATGTTATCGCATTCTAATCGAAAACACGCAAAAGAAACTGGAATGAACGATAATAAATTCAAGCAATATTCTATTTGCATTCCACGCAAAAAGAATTCTATCACTGCTGTTTTCCTTGTAGTCACTAATACCTTTCGTGTTCTATTTCATCGTTTCGCTATATTACAGAATTCTTGATTAAGTTATTAAAGAATTAATAGCCGTTTTGTTGTCTATAATTGCTTCCGCCAGCTGTTCCACTCCCATAACAGCTTCCGTTTTGGCTGTAGCCGCTCGAGGTTCCGTAGCTGCTCTGCGAGAACGGTTTACTGCCATAACTTCCGCCTACGTTACCTAAACCGAAGGAAAATTAAGAATTAGATTGATAGAAAATTTTCCCCTTTTCTTCAATATTCTTCTATAACAAATTTTTCATCCCATAAATAAGCAAACTTCATCCCACAATAGTAAAAAGGAATTATTTACTACTGTTATTTCCATTCCATTTGTTCCCCCGGTCTCCGCCGCCGCTGCCCCTCTCAAACCTGCCTCTATCCCCTCCGTCCCGCCCCCCTCCGCGTGACCCTCTGGAGCCTCGACCACTTCCACCGCCGGAGCGCCCACCGTAACGCCCTCCTAAAAACAAATAAATTAAAATTAATTCACCAAAAAATTCTAAAGAAATAAAATTCGATATCTAAAAATAGAAAATTGTACTTTTGTAGATTCCTGGGTTCCTGGAGAGTTCGTAGAGCTTAGGGTTGACCACTTGTTTCGCTTCTTCGAGCACCTGAATCAGGTCACTGGCCTTGTGAGCATTTCCTGGTGTGAAAAATGCGTAGGCAGTTCCGGTTCGTTGCGAGCGTCCTGTGCGCCCTATACGGTGCACGTAGTCCTCGGAATTCGACGGGTAGTCCAAATTAATCACAAACTTAACGTCTTCGACATCTGTACAGCGTTAGAAATTAGGATAATCGCGAGCCTAAGTCCCTAAAGATTTGATTTGAAAATATCTAATCGCGTTTTAAGTCGATACGGTGGAATTTTAAGCTTATATTAGCGAATTATTGAATTTAAAGTGTAATTTTGCTAATAAGAATTTTTACAATTATGGACTTTTCAATTCCACCACAACTCTACTCATAGAAATCAATTTTGGGGGAGGGGGTTTTAAAACTTCCACTTTTCAATATGATTTCTATTGTTAACACTAGATTCAAGGACGTCGATTTCCTTTATTTTAGTTAAAAATCTTCTTTTTTTTTTTAGCGTTTTATTTCGTGACAATTGAATTGAAATTAAATTTTTAGTTTTTTTTTTTATTAAAATATATAGTCTCTCACAAGCGAATATTTCCGAAATTATTGACAATAGCGACAATAGGTAAAAGTTGTATGATTTCAAGGACCACATAATCTATTACAATTAAGTTTTTCCTAAATGGACGTGTAGAGGCCACACAAAGGTTAACTGTGTTTTCTAAAATGGAACGATATATTTTTAAATGCATCATTCAGCGCAACTTGTCATTCCCCGCACAAAAATACTGAACCACTTGTGATGAAAAACCACTAGTTTAGAAGATATTTCAATTTTAATATTGTGTGTCATTATTTATATTACAAGTGTAATATAAAAATTAAAATATCTTCCGCGTTAATCATTTTTTGCCAAAAAACAAACAGGACCTCCACATAGTCCTTACAGATCTATTTAAGAAAATTTTAATTGCATCAAGTTATATATTCCTTGAAACCATACTGTTTTTTCAAACATTATTTCCTATCGATAATAATTTCCAAGATATTTGATTAATTTAAACGATTCACCTTGTATCAACTAAGTTTTCAATTATTTATCAATTCTATCGCTTCCCAAATCATCGGCACTAAATTTCCAAGACACCGATCACTCAGATCTTTGTCAAAACCCTTCACAAGACTGACACATAAAAACACAATTTTCCGTCGATGTGGAATATACATATATTCCAATTCCATCGATGGAATTCGAGTAAATCGTTAGCAATCTATGTTTGCAACTGAATTTTGGAACTGTGGAATCAAATCGACTTGGGATTCCTTAAATCTGGCGTGGATTATGAATTTGGTAATTCCACCAGCGAACCATGGGGACCAACTTTTTGTGTCATTGGTCTGTTCATACTATAACTTTTCAATCATTCATCAACTCTATTGCCCCCCCACATTATCAACACTAGATTTCCAAGACACTGAACGCTCTAATCTTTACGGAAACTCTTCCGCAGGCTGATGTTTACATTCTAACGGAATATTCTTTCAATCCAGGATATATATTCTAGTTCCATCGATGGAATTCAAGTAAGTTACTAGTACACAATGTTTGTGACTGAATTTTGGAACCATGGAACCGAATCGACCGGGGTTCCTTAAATCTAGCGTGGATTGTAAGTTTGGTAATTCCACCGGTAGACCAGAAATAGCAACGTTTCAGTGTGTTAATTACCTGTTTGTTGCCAAAGGCTGGAAAAATAGATTTTGGAAATGTAGAGGGAATCAGAGCTCAGATGGTTCTCATTCTCGGTTTAGAATTTACACCGAAATCTCCCCCTGCTACCAAAGTATGGACGTTTCCCGTCCACGTTGATTAACAAACTTAATTAACACTTAATTGATTTTCTTATTTTTTATCAGCGACCGATGTGTGAATTAGGCTTTTTTTCATTCTGGTTTCCATACTTTGGGACCGTGGCAGGTGCGGAGAGTGTAGGGTTTCTATTTTTTGTGGCACATCGAGGCACAGCGTGTGGTTAGCTTGTTGCACGGGGACTGATGACAACAGCAGTCACGCCCCATATTCAATTTATTATTCCATAAGCAACCTCTCCAGAGTTCTTATCATTGATAAAACTCCGTCGCATGTGCCTCTGAAAACACATAGAACAGCACGTTAATACCAGACTGACACAACTTCTATTTTTTTTATATATATATATATATATGTATATATAAAACAACCTACTGTTAGATTCCTATACATACTTACCATGGGTTGGATAAGCCTGAAATATTTTCACTTGCTTTTCAAAACTTTATTGATTTGACAATTTTAATAATATAGTATGTTAATTCAATAATTTTACTGTCGAAGTCTGTTGATTCAACAATATTAATGATACAATCGCAGAAACCTCACAATTTTAATAATAAACTCTGCAAATTCAATAATTTTTAGCTAAATTGCAAGACCTTTTTTGAAGCTTTTGGAAAGGATAGAGGAGAAGAAAGCAAGTGAAAATCCACCTAAGTTACTGATTAAACTACCATTTGAGTCCTCTTAGTATTGTCAGGCTGAAAAGATTAGAATATTATTAATTCCTCCTGGAACGGCATGTTCTTTCCCAGGGAATTTAAGCTTGAACACGTGGGAACATGTTCGCTGGCCATTCATTGCGCACTGGATGAATTAAACTATTTAATTCGCTGCCACTATCCTTTCAAACTATGCTCAGAAGCCTATGGAGTCAAGTATAGTAAATTCTTCGAGATTCCGTATTACCCGTGGTGCTTTGAACTTTACGGTAAAAATATTTCCTTCTTAAGGGGGTATTCTAACGTGGTGAACCTTTGAAAAAATCAATTTCCGTTTTTTTTACATTTTCTTAAAGAATATAATTTGGAAAATAATATTTGCAAATCTTTATGCTTGAACTACTAAAATTAACGAAATTATGACTGTTTAAAGGACGTGATGATCAACACTATTGTTACAGAGATACAAAACTTTAAAAGCGTCTTTCTTGAAACTATGTTTATCAGAAGAACGGTATCCATTGACCAATTGGCTTAAAATGTTAGGTGCACGTTCAGTACATGTGTAACTATAGCCCATACCAGAATAAACCCAAAATGTTTATTTTTTTATCTTTCTTTAGCTCTCCGAAATTTAAAATTTTTAAAAAAACGAAAAAATCGATCACAATGTCACATTTGAGTCTAACTTCAAAGGGTTGCCGTATTTTTATTTATCGATTTTTTTCTTTTGTTCTACTATTAGCTATAGCCAAATTCATACTAATTAAAACAAAAACAGAATGACCGAAATATGAATACCGTGAGACGACCTTTTTTTTAAAGCGACTATGTTTGACAGTATGCAGTGTCACTAAAATATGTATAAATAAATCTTGTAAATTCGACTGTAAAAGGTGTCATAGTTTTTTTGCAGAAAATTCTTCAAGAAAGTTTAAAAAATGCACTTGGTAATACTAGAGTACCCTCTCTTAAGACATACATATATGAAACGTAACAGCAAAGAAAAGAAGATATGCAATTAAACAAAAATCTACAACTTTGTTTTTTTCAAAAGATTAATAAACTTCCATTGAATTAAATAATTATATAATTAAATCGAAATAGATGTACAATACTATACTATCAAAATGTTTTTCATGAGTTTATTCCATGATTTTTCCATCGATTCTTCCGTATTATACAAGTTTTCCATTATCCGAGATAGTCTCGGTCCACATTATCTCGGATAATTGAGATTCTACTGTACAATAAAGACTGCATAAGCAACTAAACATTCCCAGTTATACTTTTTAAAATTGAATATTTTGTTCTGAGGTTTTCCAACCAGGATTGTGAAAAAAAATTGTAAAATTGGCCTCAGAAGCTCCATAATTAATACAATAATGACTTCGTAGGCAACTGAAGTTTTTAATTCAAACCGAAATGAAAGAAACCTTCGACTTACAAAAGAATAATCTTCTGTAGTTCACCCAGTGTACAAATTAAGTCTCCGTTTCCTTCACAAAGTACTGTCGATCAGTCTGGCACATGCCGTCGTTGCCACATAACTCGATGAAACAACCATCGCAGCCTGACCCTTACACTCTATCACTAGCGGATTCTCACCTAAGCCCCTCGCTGCTACATCTGTCGCCACCAAGATTGCTGACCTGCTGTTCCGGAACTCTGCACATACAAATTTCCCGCTCATAAATCTTCGTAAACCTTTCTAAAACTTATGATTCAATACGTAGTTTCTTAAATCCTAAAAACCCTTCAAAATCCATAAAAACTGTTAGAAAGTTACGATTCAATATGCAGTCTCTTTAATCCTTAGAAACCCTTAGAACCCCTTAGAAATCTTTGTAAACATTTAAAAAACTTACGATTCAATACGTAGTCTCTCTCCTGCTGACTTTTATCACCATGGATTCCAATTGCTTGCCATCCGTACCTATTAATGGCTCTTGTAATATCATCAACCTTCCTTTTGGTTTCCACAAAAATAATAGTCTTGTTCTCTGGTTCATTAGAAATCTCTTCCAATAGTTTCATAAGTTTTCCTTCTTTTTCATACTCCTCGCAGACATCTACGATTTGGAGAATATTATGATTTGCAGCCAATTGCAGTGATCCAATATTTATTTGTATGTAGTCGGTGAGGAATTCTTCAGCTAGGTTTCGAACTTCTTTGGGCCAGGTTGCAGACCACATAAGAGTCTGACGATCGGGTCGAATTTGTTCAACAATTTTTCTGATCTGCGGCTCAAAACCCATGTCCAGCATCCTATCCGCTTCATCCAGAACCAGATACGTACACCTAGAATTATTAATCGCAATGATAGAAGCTAAGCAAAGTTTTTAGTTAAACGCAAAGAAAGCTACCTAGAATATTCATTGCAATTGTAGAAGCTTGGGAAATCTAGGGAAAACTTGCAAAAATTTTTCTTTGTAAAGAGAACTACCTACAATACTAATCCAACACACTTGAACTTGCTTAATCTAGTTATTCCCAAAGAAAACTACCTCCGTAGGTTGGTGGTTCCCCTTTCAAGGAAGTCGATGAGCCTCCCAGGAGTAGCAATGCAGATCTCCACCCCACGCTCCAAATCCCTAGCTTGTGGACCCTTGGGGGCCCCCCCAAAAATACAAGTATTCCTCACTTGTGAAGACACCCCAAAATCTGAAGCAACCTGCTGAATCTGTTGGGCCAGTTCCCTCGTTGGGGCCAGGATCAGAGCTATAGGCCCATCATTTCTATTTAATCTAGGCTGATTATTTATGTGGACAATAGCTGGCAGGATGTAGGCCAGGGTCTTTCCTGACCCCGTCTGCGCGATTCCCACCATATCTCGACCAGAAAGAGCAATTGGCCAACCTTGGGCCTGAATAGCAGTCGGTTCCCCGAACCCCTGTCTTCTAATTTCATTTAAAACATAGTCTGGGAAACCGCCCTCTTCAAAGAAGATATTTGGGCTCGGGAGGTTGGTACCTTTGACAGTTATTTCCTTGTCAGAGCGGTAAGCTTCTACTATGTGAGGACTTCTGGTTGTAACATTTGGGTGAGGTTGGTAGAAATCTTTTCTGAAGGGCTGGAGGGTGCTCATGTCCCAGCGCGGTTTGCGGAGACGTTCTCCTGGTTGACGGTTTTTGAAGTTGGAGAAGGAGGGGTTCGAGTCGCGGGAGGGGAAGCGACCATCGCGAGAAAATCGTGCGCCTCCGCGGGAGCCACCGCCGCCGCCTCTTCTGTCACCACGCTCGCGGTCTCTGTACGCCCTGAAAGAATTTTAAGAGATTATAAAGGGTATTATTTTTTTTTGTTTCTTTTCTTTTTTTTTGGGAGGGGGGGAGGCTTGATGAGGAGTTTGATTGGAATAGGATAGTTTCATTTGTTTTGGATAAAAAGGGAATGTAATTGTAAGGGAATATTTTTATTACTCCAAACTTAGTGAAATTTAACTGAAAAACATTTCTCTAGTTGTATTCTTTTCCAACTCACATAATTTTCCTCAATTCCTGTTCTACAATACAAAACATTGAAAAACTTACTTGTTGCAATGTACAAAATATTTTATTTGAGACAATTACTTAAAAAACACACTCAACAAAATAATCGATCATATTTTGCAAATAAATATTTCACAAACTGGAAGTAAATTGGTTGCAATACAGAATATTAATATAATAAATATCGAAACTGTTCTTTTCAATAGTAACCTATTCATCAATTATTTAATCAATATTAATCGAAATATCAAATTTAAATCTAGTATTAATTAAAAAATAAAATTGTTCATATTAATAAAAAATAAGCTACAAGTTTTAAATACAGTGAGTAACAAAAATATTCTGATACTGGGGTATACATAGATTTATTCATTTATACCTTATTTGTTTGCGAATAAAATCAATTTATTCTTTTTCCATATGATAAGTCATTTATTAGATATATATACATTTTTTTAAAGAATTTTATTAACATTATACTTTAATTGACAATAACTGAAAAGGTATATCATTATTGTGTTACAAAAATATTCTGACATTTGTATATTTCTATAGATAATTCATTCTAAAAACAGTTCTAAATTTTATCAGGATAATGACCATAAGTACAAGAATTTTTATTTTATAATTATAATGCATTGATGTAGTAGATGCAACATGAATTTGCGGAATGAATCACATCGTAGAATAAGAATAACACTTATAAACTCCAAAAATGAACTTAAAAAAATTACAAAAATAATGGAAATGTAGTAGTCCAGATTTTTTGACAAAAATAGTTTCCAGTATACCAAAACATTTAAGACATATCACAATAGCGAAAGGGTCATACTACAAAATATTAAGTTGATTTATATCGCTACCCGGAACATTCAAATCATCATTTTCTTTAAATGTATCTGAATATTTTTGTGACCCAATAATGATGTACCTTTTCAGTTATTGTCGATTAAAATATAATGTTTATAAAATTGTTAAAAAAGAATTTATACATTTTATAACTCTAATAAATGACTTATTACATGAAAAAAGAATAAATTGATGTTATACATGAACAATTAAGCCATAAATATATAAATCTATGTATACTCTAGTGTTTGAATATTTTCATTACTCGTTGTAATTATTATCACTTCTTCGATTAATTTGAAACAATATGGAGGAGAGACAGTCACAGAAAGACACTAAACGTCAACACGAAATAATCGAAACATTTAGAAAAATTACCCAAAATTAATACAAAATTAATCAACTTACATTCTCATTAAAGTGTCTGAAGTTTCTTAGGTTGTGAAAATTCGGTCAATTTTCCTTAAAAACCAACTTTTCGCCAAGGAAAAATCGAGAGAAAACCAGAACAGCTCTCACGATCCAAAATGGCTTCGTCAAACAACTGTCATGGCGTCTATAGACGCCTCAAAAAACCCAAACACATAAAAAAAAAACAATATTCCCTTAAAAACCTAAACAATAATTTTTAAAAATTATTTCCTCCCTTTTCAACTCCCTTAATAATTAAAAATTAAATTAGAAACATAAGGCACCGGAAGTCGATAGTATTAGCTCGAAACGGAAGCAAACTATCGAAAGAATCGATAAAATAACACATTCGATTATCGAAATCGACTTAAAATAATTTAAATTTTACTTTTTAAACAAGTACAAAATATTATAATTAGTATTTTAATAAATAAAATTTAATTATCGAATTTCTAAAATTCGAATTCAAATTTTTTTTTTTTTAGACAATTATAAAATATTATAATTAGAATTTTTATTTAATGCTTAACAAAATACAATTTAATTACAATAATTTCCTTTTGCTTAAACATTTACACAGAGAACTAAAAATAATATCCGTACGATAATAAATTCAACAAATTCCACTGGAAAAGACTATAATTACACTATATAATACTTCTTTGGTTGTTTTGGTGAACAGAAATTCTCTATCGACACTATTCAATACAAACTTTATCGCTCCAACGATAGCAAACACAATTTCAATAAGTTATTCCTCGATATTGATAGGCATTGGCATAATTGTCACCCCCTGCGTAGCTTTGTGTCACGCTATTCTGTGCATAGGACCTCTGTGTGGTGTATCCGTAGCCCGCATTCTGATTTATCTGCTTCGTATTCCCGTAACTACCATAATCTGATCCGGAATAGTTATTTGCAGTCGATTGGTAAGTCCCACGACCTCTTCCTCTTGAAGATCCTCTTCGTCCAATGTTTCTATCGCTTCCGACAAAACGTTTCCCACCTAACACCATAAAAAAAATACACAAATACCATAAAATTCGAATCGGAGGTATGGAAAATCTTACTTCTGGTACCAAAGTTCCCTGCTTTGGCCAATTCTGCCATTTCTGTAAGTCGTGGATTGATATTTTGGCCAGCTTCTTTTAGAACTTCAATTAAGTCGCCTGCGTGTTTCATATTGTGGCTAGTAAAGAAAGCATATGCTGTTCCGGTCTGTCTTCTGCGGCCTGTACGACCGATCCTGTGAATGTAGTCCTCTGATGATGAGGGATAGTCGAAATTTATCACATACTTCACATCATCCACATCTGCAAATAGTTATTAGAACAATGAAAGAAACGCTGGAATTTGGAATTCAACTTAATCGCTAACATATGTTGTTAATTTCGCTGATTTTAGAATTCAATTAATTTACTAACAATAATTGTCAATTTCTATTTTAGAATTCAATTCGATTGTTATCATTGTTAATTCTAAATGATCTACGAACCTATATAAAAAGAAAGAAAAACTTTTGAATCAAACAAAAAACCTACGAACCCAATCCCCTGGCAGCAACGTCAGTCGCAACCAAGATCGGAGCTCTTCCGCTCTTGAACTCCTGCAGCACGTGATCTCTTTCTTGCTGGTTTTTGTCTCCATGGATACTCAGTGCCTGCCAACCATCCCTTCTAATATTTCTAGTGATATCATCCACCTTCCTCTTTGTCTCCACAAATATGATGGTCTTGTTTTCCTTCTCGTTTCCAATTTCCTGCAACAATCTATAAAGCTTCGAGTCCTTCTCGAACTCCTGGCAAACGTCTATGATTTGGATGATATTATGATTGGCAGACAGAGTTAGGGAACCAATGTTTAGGTGCATATAGTCTGTCAAAAAGTCCTCAGCTAGCGCTCGAACCTCTTTGGGCCATGTAGCAGACCACATCAGTACCTGCCTGTCCGGTCGAATTTGTTCAATTATTTTTCTAATTTGAGGCTCGAAACCCATGTCCAACATCCTGTCTGCCTCATCCAGAACCAGGTACGTACACCTAAATTATTCATTCAACATCACAAAACTTGCAAAAGATTCAAATTGATTCAAATTCTTTGCTCAATACCTCAAAGTTGTAAATTGTATCAATTAGTCATACCTGCGTAGATTCGTAGTTCCCCTTTCGAGAAAGTCAATGAGTCTCCCAGGTGTAGCAATGCAGATTTCCACGCCACGCTCCAAATCATGGGCTTGTGGGCCCTTCGGAGCTCCACCAAAGATACAAGTATTCCTCACTGAAGCTGTTTCTCCAAAACAATTGCAAACTTCCTGAATCTGTTGTGCTAACTCTCTTGTTGGAGCGAGGATCAATGCAATTGGTCCATCACCATTTGTAAGGCGTGGTTGATGGATAATGTGAACGATTGCAGGCAAAATATACTGAAACCAAACCCTCAATCATAGATCTGAATCAGAATTTAACGACTTATTTCACTTACTCCAAGGGTTTTACCAGATCCAGTTTGTCCAATTGCCACTAAGTCCCTGCCACTGAGGGCTATGGGCCATCCTTGAGCCTGGATTGCTGTTGGTTGAGTGTAACCTTGTTTCCGGATCTCATCAAGCACGTATCCAGGGAAATTTCCTTCCTCAAAGTATTGGATTGGGTTTGGGACATCATCACCTTTCACAGTTATCTCTGCATTCTCCCGGAACTTGCTTACCTCCTCCTTGGACCTACCACAATGCGTCACATGAAGATTTCTTAATGAAATCACAGAGTTTAAACTCATTCACCTGTTGCGGACTGCTGGATGCTCCACATAGAAGTCTTTGCGAAGAGGTTCTAAGACCCGCACATCCCAATTTACTTTCCTTAGCGTTCCACCAGGCTGTTTGCCCTTGACACCACCACGAGGGTTACTGGGAGTCCCTCGACCACGTGTAGGAAATCTATGGAGCTCGCCTCGCCCACCACGGCGACCCCTGTGCTCCCTATCGCGATTAAACCTGAATGCATTATGTTTTGTTTAGGGTTTTTGTGAATCTTTTGTGTGAGGATTGGATATTGTGGATTGTGTGTTGAGTATTGTGTGGGAAATGGATTTTAGATTGTAGAATTTTTGAGTTTTTAATATGGAATTTGTATTTATTTGAGACTTACATTTTTGGAAATCTTCAAAAAAGATTATTTTCGCTTTGTGGTTGATTCGACGGGAACCAATCAATAGTTTAGAACCACTGGATAGTAGAATGGCCACTTGTATTGGGAAACGACGATATATCGAGTTTCTCCGAGGGAGAATTTTCGTGATTCAAGACACAAAATTGGAAATTAATGGATTAGATTGTAGAATTTTATGGTCCGTAGCTTTAAACTTGCCGGTTATGATTCGGGGGATCAAACTGACAAGTGAACTTCCGAAAGTAGTTCCGTGTAAACTGTTTCCATGACAGCGTCGGCGGAGTAATACCGGAGAACCATGTTGGATTGTTTGTGGGAATTGATGGATGGTTTTTAATGAAATCTTTTTACGTAAGGTTTTTAGGAATAAACAAGACGATTTATTTAAAATAATTAAAAAGATTTATTCGAGTAAATCTTGTCATTATTCGAATGATTTATTTCAAGATTTCTACGACTCGCCAAACATTCAATAAATATTTCTAAGATTTCCAAGCCTAATAAGACTATCAAGATTATTAAGATTTCCAAGGGCTTCAAAATTTTCAATAGTTTTAAGATTTTCATGATTTTTAAGACTATCAATAATTTCAAGATTGTTTCCAAGATTTTCAAGACTTTCCAAAACTGTTAAGACTTCCCAGTTTTGGAAGTCATAAAAATCTTGAAAAAATCTTTAAACTATTGAGAGTCTTAAAAATCTTGGAAATTTTGAAACTATCGTAAGTTTTGAAAATTTTTTAAATCTTAAAAGGAAGATTATTTCTCAGATTTCCAATCTTTCCAATAGTTCTTAAATTCAATTAACATTTGGAACATCTTTAAACTTCAAAGTCCCATTACTATATATAAATAATAACAGAGGCTTATATCACATAAATAGACAAATAGATAAACGATTAAGTAAACAATAACCGATCTTCAAATTCTCTGACCACCTCCAAACTTAAAAAAAAATCCAACTTAAAATTACAAAAATTAAAAGAAGAACTAAAGCATACATCCATCTAAATTAAATATAGCGGTAATTTCATAATCTTCAGCTGCTTTCTCCACCGCTCCGCTATGGTCTATAGTAAATTCATCGTTACTATTGTTGCTCTTGATACGCTCAATTTTGTGTAATCTAACCACACTGTTCTAGTGTTTCTCCATTTTCATTATTTACCGAGTACAATAATTATAAAATGTCGAATGAAAAAGCACACGTAATTTTATATTTTTCAATAATTGTTAACAAAATGACTATTTTTCTTTTGTATATAATTGTTAATCTATGATTATTTATATCCAGCGGTTCCTAACTCTTCGTAACAATCCGGTTATATTCCAATTCTTAAAATTGAAAACCATCTTTTAAAATCAGTCAAATAAATATTAATCCTAATCTATGTCAAAAATGAACAACAAGACTTCATTTTTTACTAAGTTGACTTCATTTAGACTCTTAAGACTTTTAGTGTAAATTGATTACGAGTTTATAATATTAAATAAATAAATTAGAAGCCCGGTAACTTAGTTACAAAATCAATTTTCTTAAACGATCGTGCAATAGAATAGGATTTTTCCAATTGCTATGGTTAAAATGTATCAAAAATACAATTATTGCACTTTAACAAAATATTATCATCGTTCAAAACTTTTTGATCGTAGGATTTAAAACACTTCAACTTTGTCTTTGTTGTGCTTTAATAAAGTTTTATTATTGGTCAAATTTTCCAAAGTTTCTAATATCTCCATATATATCCCAAATAACTTTGCAAACCATAAACTATGACTTAGAAAACACCAATTTATGCCATATCTATATTTTCCTTTCTTGTTTCTTTTAACATACAATTCTACAAGCGTTGAACCATATTTTCACCACATTTCAGATTTCAGACACCCTAAGAATCCTGCATCTTCCACCAGAGTTATCTGATGCCAGGCGCAGTGAGCTCCTAAAACGTTATGGAGCTCTCAAAACCCAAACCCTGAGGCCCTCTGCTAAATACACTGTTACATTTGCAAAGTTTCCATCTCAAAAAGCAGCTACCGAAGTGTTATTGCGTCTTCACCAACTAAACATTGGAGGCCAATATTTAACTGTAGAATTTGCCTGGAAATTCATGACAATAGAAAACACTAACAAAATTAGTGACAAAGAAACTTCCACACAAGAAAATAAGAACGAACCAATTAGTAAATCAAACTTTCAAGCTTTTCTGCAAAAACTAAATGCATGGACAAATCAGGCATTTGCTCAACCTCCTCCGCCAAATATTCAGTACAAATATCTTCCACCGACAAAATCAACATTGACGAGGATAGCCATACAGTTGTTAAAGGAACCAGCTTTCTACACTCAGGTAAATAAATTAAATTAAGTTTGTAAACATGTATTCGATCTATGATTCCTTTAATAGGTTCTCCATTTGATGAACAGAATGAACCTTCCACCACCTTTTGAGGACTTAGAATCAGAGTTTCCGCAGCTCAAAGAAGCATATGATATGGAAAAATATAATATTTTCACAAATCAGAGTTCGTGCGAGGAGTCTGAAATAGAATCGGAGGGGGAAAGCTCAGTTTTGGAAATAGTTCCTGTGAAAATGAAGCGAAGCGCAAAGCATTTAAAGATCCCAAAATTTGTGAACCCTGCAAAGCGAGTTGCAACAGCAAGCTCAAAAGTTTTGAAGCGGGAAGATCTATTTGAACCAGTACAGATAACAGAGGCAAAGAATTTGAAGATTGAATTGAGGACAGAGAATTTGGGAGATGGTCCAAAGATGGAGGACAGTGATAAGAGGGAAAATGTTGCGGATGGAGGATTTGGGTTGATGTTTCCAGTTAATAGAAGTTTGGATGATGGAAACGAAAGTAACGAAGAGGTTCGATTGGAAGTTATTGAGTCAAAAGAGCTGGCGGATAATAGGATTTCTGCAAATGGTGAGAATTGTTTTTTAATCTTATATTTAAAACGTTAATATGAGAATCGAGAGAAAGTTTTTGTTTTATTTCTTGGGTTTTATATTAATTGATAACTGTTTCATCAATAGTTGCTAGACCATTGATATTAGAATTGGAAGAAAAATATCAAATGATTTTGTTTTCGTTTTAGATCAACGATTGCTTCCAGTATTTAAAAACTACCACCCTGGGAAACCGTCGAATAGATTATATATAAAAAACCTTGCAAAACAAGTCGAAGAGAAAGATCTTCACTTCATTTATAGGAAATATTTGGTCCCTGGACTGAAAACTGAGTTTGAGTAAGATTGTTTGAAAAATAGTGATATATTCGAATAATTTGCGTAATGATGTTTGTTTTAGGTATGATGTGAGACTTATGCAAGAGGGACGAATGAAGGGGCAGGCTTTCGTGACTTTGCAGAATAAAGAACAGGCACAGATGGCTTTGGATGAAACGAACGGGTTTATTTTGAAAGATAAACCTATGGTTGTCCAATTTGCGAAACCAACAAAGTTTTAAATATTATATAAATTGTATATAATTTCATGTATTAGAAAATAGAAATATTTTTTTAATAAAATTGGAGTTTTGATCCATTTTTTCTGTAATTAGAAATTGTTTTAAGAAATTAGCCTAATTCAGCCTAAGAAGTATTTACAATGGCATGCTGTTCAAATACAGATTGAATACTTTATACAAAAATTCCCATTCAAATTCAATAAATAACAGAAATCATTTAAACAAAATTTTTACCACAAAAATTTCTATAACAATTTCAACCAATTATTTTAACATTCTTTTCTACCCTCGAAAAATAATAATTACATACAAAATTTACTATTTTCTATTTCAATCATAAAATTTTAACACTCTTTCTACCAGTCTTTTATAATACTGTTTAAAATTCCAAAGCTCAAACTTATTTTCTTAAGATTATTTACTTTCTAAATAAATACGAAATTTCTATGAATTATAAAATTTATACAACACTAATAATATTTTAACAATAACATAAGTAAATACATACCGTAAATAAGTAAATTTAATTATTCAAACTCGAATATTAATTTTGTATTAAAAAAAAACACCAATTTTCCAAATATATAAATCTTTCCAAAAACAATAAAATTTTTAAATATAAAATCGATTCCGGACAACCTAGTCAAATTCACAATTTTTAAATATTAAATATCACAGAATTTTGTACTAAATTCTTTAATTATGGTGTGTAACATTCTTAATTTAATTAATAATATATCAAAATAGTAATATTTTTACGAGTATTAATCTCCGAAGGGAATTTACAAAATATTTTGGAAAATTTCGAAGTATGGGAGAACAATGGCGGCTTGACATGCGCAGTGGCGTGTCAGAGCCGCGTCAGCGACAATTTGGACTCAGTAGTTCGCGGACCATCCGTTAGGGAGCAATGTGCCGTGCATCTAGTGGGAACTCGTAGCTTTTTCCGTCATCTCCGTCGGTTTCGTCGTGATGGACGTCAACCAGCTGCTCCAGCACTCACAGTACGCGCTGCCCGTGGGCGTCGTCCTCCTCTGCGCAATCCTGGTTTTTGTTTTCGGCTTCAAAAAGGCCGAACAACCACCATTTGCACAACTATCTGCTGGCGGCGACGTGGACCGAAAAATTGCAAAAAAACGCACCAAAATCAAAGAAAAGGTTAGTTCATATGATTAAAATCAATTAAATTTATTTATATTTTACCGATTGATCGATTTGAATTCCGATTTATTTGATAGTTTTATTGATTATTCCATATTTTAGGTTTCCATATGGTTCCAGGAATCATGTATCGAATATCTCAAATCTTTGTAGTTTAAATTGAGCTTTTTTTGAGTCTATGGTTTTTATATTTTTTGATCGTTTTGTGGGTACTTGTTGAATCTTTAGGAATTTTAATTTGAGTCGATGAAAGAAGTTTAATTGATAGGCTTTCATATATCAAACGCTATTTTCTCATTGTTTTAGTGAAACTTTGACTCTTTCAAGACAATTTTACAATTTATTATAAGCTTAATTTAATTTGTAGGCCAGATAAATATTTATATTTTTGTTCATAGAAGCTCCATCTGAATTTCAATGGCAACAAACTCCATTTTTGCCAGTCTTTCTATCATACTTTGGCTCTTCTGAAATGAATTTGTGAATCATTGGAAGCTTAATTTAGATTCTGAACTGGGAAAATATTTATATTCTCACCCATCAAAGTCATATTAATAAATTTTATACCATCAATTTTCATTTTCTACTTTTTTGGCCAATCTTTGACTCTTTTGAGGCAAATTTGCAATTCCCCTATTGACAAACAGAAACTTTAAAAATTATTCCAACTCAAGTCAATGGTAGTTTTTTATATAAATATTCATATTTCAGAGGTCTGCCAATGGTCAAATAACATCAGAGAAACCAAGTTCATTGAAGAAGACCCTCTTCTCTAAGACAGAGTCTTTAAAAAAGTCTGTATCCAAGTCAGAGGACATTGAAGGAAAGTTAAAAGAACACAAACAAGACAATGAAAGAATTTCTGCTGTCAAAAAGGATAAAGAGGTCTCAGTAGCGAAGGTTGGGAAAGAAAACAGGGCAGAGCAGGCAAAGAACAAGAAGAATTTGAAAAATCTGTTTCAGGAGAAGCCAGTAGACTTTGACGAAGGTATTTATTAAAAGAATCATAGAATCTTCAAGAAATAATTCTTCTAATTTGGAATTTAGGAGACTGGGAGCAAGCTTATTCAAGGAAGGAGAAGAAAAATAAGAAGAAGGAGGAAGAATCTCCCTCAAAGAAGTCTAAGAAGACTGCCAAGAAGGCAGATCTGATCAACGAAGCTGTTGCAAAACAGAAAGATCCAGAAAAAGTAGAAATTAAAGATAAGGTAGCAAAGGAGACAGAGAATAAAGAATTGAAGGAAAAGGATACTAAGGAAATTATTCTCGTACCAATTTCTAATGAAGAAATCAAAGAAAAGGACAAAGATGAAGTTAAGGTAGCCTGAAATTGTCAAAACTTGTTCCAATTTATAATGTAGTATCATCATATATAGAAATTTTGGTTTTTAGGTTGAAAAGTTGGAAAAAGAAGAGAAGAAGAAGTCAAAAAAGGTAAAGAAGGTTCCAGAGAACGAAGGCGCAATAATAGGGGAGAATAAACCGAAAGATGAAGACAGTGCGGAGGATTCTAAGGTTCCACAGAGTCAGGAAAAGCCTGGTGCAGTTTTTGACGAGCTTGGAGGTAACTATTCCCTGTTACAATAATTTCGTGCATTGGAAACTTGTCGATATTCTTGGGAATTGTGTGACAGATGTGTGGACAGAGGCTAAACCACAGAAGAAGAGTAAAAAGAAGGCCCGTAAGGACAATTGAAGACGATCGAACCATCAGAGCGACCAAACTGTTTCTTTTTGTACATAATAGCCTGCGCAGCGGGGAACAGTCTCCACAGACACAGCGATAGTGTTTTGGGAAACCTATTCGCAGCGACAGAGTCCTGCATATACATACAATGGTACTTACGAGTCCTGTGTTTGAGAAGGAGACGTCAGGGGTAAAGTTTGGATCGATTGAGCGTATTCAATCGAGAGAAATATTTTCTTATACCGGAGTTTAGTATGCTTCGTAAGAGACTAGATAATAGTTCGTTGTGCTGAAGCATTCACTGAGTGAATCTGTGCCAAGAAGGGTACGAGAGAAAGTAATTGTGATGGTTTATATTTTGTTGGAGTTTGGATTATTGATGGACGGTAGAAGATTTAAGTTGGTGGCTTTCAACCATATGATTCCAATTTGAATTCCATTGATTGAGTGTTTGTTTGAAAATACAATAGTGCCCACTTAAGTGTCCGCGCTCAGGACCGGTCGCGATCACTTAAGAGGGTTACTTCTCAGAATTCAACAGAGATAAGGAAATTGGATAAGTGCGAGCGAGATACAATAGCTGGCACTCGAAATCATATACCTACATATATACATATATATATATATAATGTATCGATAACAAACGGCGTCAAGTTACGCTCGATGTTCGAAGTCGCTTGATTTCCAAGAAGTGTCGCGGACACTTAAGTGGGCGCTACTGTATTCCATTGTACGATCCCAAATTGAATTCGAATCTAACCAATGAAAATCTAATTAAAATTCAATCAACGGCTTGTCCTAAAATATTTCACTCTCCAGTTATAAATCAAACACCCGTAGGAGAATCTTATTCACTTTGTCGAGGAATGCATTGCTGCAAAGCACACTGAAAGATTGTGATAAGTAAGTCATACGCGCTGTATGAATATTGTAAAATAGTCCCATTAAATAATTCTATTGTTCTCAAGTAGCATTCACTTAACGAAGAAAACAAACATCCGCTCGAATAGTTAATATTTTCTACTTTCAGTCCTCGATCTCTCCACCCACGACTGAAACATTAATCCCACTTTCTCGTGTAGCTCCCCATACACCTGTCGCAGAACCCAAATTGTACTAATTTAAAAACTGCAAAAACTACGAGATCGCTGCTGTAAATATGTAAATTGATCGTCGACAAGCTTTCGGATATAAAATGATCTGCGAAACAGAGTTTATGAGGATGTATCTAACAAGAAATTACTATTCTGTACAAATATACTTGTGTGAAGAGTGTCAGAATCTTATTTCTAGCATAGAATATAAACTAACGAATATATTCTCTTTTTACAAAGGCAAATATATTTCGAGCTGCTGGAAACTTAAAATTAAGATTTGAACGAGTAGAAATTTGTATTTTTCCCCAGCATTCGAAGCTTTGTACATAATTTGATCGTTGTTGGGACTTTCGTTGTGACTAAAATAGTTCCATGGGACCACATAAACTAATAAAGCGTGCGAAACTTAGTTCCTAGTTCCCTCTCTCCGTAGCTCCACCGTTTACGCTTCTTTATTTCAGCGAGTACAATTGTATGATTAATTTCTTGTTAAATGAAAACTAGCGACGCAACAAACTTATTTTGCGTTCTTGTTAAATTTTCCACACTTTCGCTTGAACGGTTTGTTCTGCTTCGTTCCTGGTTCGTTCCGTTCACCATTATTATCCTTCTTTGGTTTCTTTCGTTTTCCGCGAGTCTTTCTTCTTGTACTCTTACTTTTCTTACGTTTCTTGCGGTCTAGATTGGCAATTATCGCCTCTGTATCCGCAGAAAGTTTTACTTTTACACGCTGGCTAGTAACTGGGACTCTGATGAAGGAGTCGTACAGAATGTCTCCGCAGAACTCTCCGGAACAGAATTCTTCGCCACAATCTGAGCAGACCTTCACGCTACTTTCGATTATCCCTGCACGGTTCTTGGTGCGTCTGATTGGGCTCGTTGTCGACCTACGCTCTCTGGAGATCGTCTTAGCCTCTAGTTTTCCCATTTCTACCTGAGGAATGGGGCGGAAGATTAATTGAAACAGATTCGGAAAACTGGGTTGCTTAAAAGTGGCGAAAGGTAGAACAGAGGACTAATTTTTGGTTCTGAAAGTTTCATAACTTTGGAAATTTAAAATTTTTTTTAGAAACATAATTTCTTCTACGATTGCCGGTTTCCATCCTTTCAATAGCGTTTGTAAACCGGTTTACAAGTCGAATTACCAATCGTGAGAACATTTCTTCGTCCTGGCGTAGTTTTGGCCTGACTGGAGTGAGCATTCTCCAGTCAATAGGTACCTGGTGCAGCTCTCGCAGGCTCAAACTTCTCATATCCGGAGGAACTGGATTTCCATAGCTCCATTCCCTCCCCAATGCCTTTGATTCCTTCTTAGTTGCTCTCCAGGAGAAATCTCTGTCCCGAACCTTAGTGTCGTCTCTCTTCACCTGCGTCAACAAGCTTTATTAACTCACGCTAGCCATCAAACTTGGCCCACTAGCTTTCTTTAACCAGCCTCGAGTCAGGATAGTTTTAGTTTCGCTATTTTGACTGTTTTTTTTAGAAGACGATCGATCTTTCCTTGACTCTAATCTGAGAATCGTATCGCAGAAACCTTTTCCGGTTTGATTTTGAATTCTGGACAATTTTCGAGCAGCCTACGAAACTCTTCCTGGGACTCGCAGGTAGCTTTGCTGAGGTCCGGAACCAAGTTAGTGTCCTTCCTATCCTCCTTTAAGAGATCGTCCAATTGGAAGGCCATCGCATCTGCAATCGGAGAGAAATTCTCAAGATTTCGTCGACTCGCCAATCCCCTTCACACTCTGCGCAATCTCACTTTCTACAAAATCGAAACGAAACGAACTAAAAAGAATTTAATGGATCGATTAGAAGATCGTTGACGCAGCTGGGGAGACCTGCAGCCTCTCCGATTTCCACTCCATTTGTTTGCTCAATAGCCCCTGCAGAGAATATTATATTGTAATCCCGATTCTCAACTTTTGTTAGGCGATACGCACAGTTTTTAGGCTGGAAAGCTTCGACAGGATTTCTTCTCCGCCCCAGACGTTGGACGTTCCATTACAAGACTCGGGGCAATTCTTTGGTTCGTACTTGTGAGTTTCAATGTTCGTCAGGCCCTCTTCGTCGGTTCTCAGACGGACAATGGAGTTTAAACTGTCCATCGAGAGGTCCGCGTCGTAACTTTCTGGCTTTATCTTCCGTCTGGTAGGTCGAATCTTCAATTTTATCGACTTCCTTCTGTCGAGGGATGGTGATCTGTTAAAAAAGAATTGTAAGCAAGTGGTAGTTGAGAATTTTTGGAGCGGAGAACTTTACCTGGACCTTTCATCGCTGGACTCTACTCTGCGCCTCATTCGCAGCCGACGTTGGTAGTGTGGGTCCTTTTCGCTTTGCGTTCGGTACCTGGTGCAGGGTCTAAACATCAGGTTTTATTATTTAGATTCGTCTCCAACGTGAACGTAGATTAAATAGTCAATTCCTAAGTTTCAATGGATTGGTAAGTCGTTGGAAGCTTCGAGGTATTTGTAATAGCAATAGCAATTGCAATCGACGGAATGGAAAATAATGTCTAAACGTAGATTGTTGGGTAGCTCTGTTGCAAAGTTATGATAAAAATATGCAGTTGTGGTGACAGCTCCCGTATTGCCACTAAAGGGGCAGCTCTCTCGCAAGTGCTCGTGTTAGAAACAAATGGCGCTTTATTTCTAAAATGATTTAAAATTTTTTAATTTCGTCGAAAAATTTGGCCACCTATTCAAATTTTTTTTTTCTGAAATGTGTGGGATTTCGAGGGTGTATCTATTAACCAAAAATGATTGTAATTGACACCCGCTACTGAAAGTAATTTTTTTCGAACGGTTTGAAATGTTTTTTTTCGCCAAAAAATTTAGGCACATACATACCCCCTGTTGATATTTCTTAAAAATTCGTTTTTGATTTTTAGTAATTTCGTTTGACGCCCTACAGAAAAGTTGTCTAATACTTTTTTGTAGGTATCCATGAGCTTTACTTTGGAAAAAAATTTCAACGAAATGCATTCACTATTGTAGGAGTTATGGTCGTTTGAAAATTGGACCGTTTTTATAGGGGTTTTCTCACTTTACGGGGTTAAGGAACAACTTTTCGAATAGTCTTGGAACTTCAACATATTCTTGATTAAAATACGCGTTGTTTGCATTTTGAAACAATAAAATCCTCCAATTTGTTCAGAAGTTATGGTGTTTTAAAAATACGCATGAAATTTCAGTAGAACATCCAAACAAATGGTCAGGCATGAAAGTTTCGGTAATGAATTTTTTTCTCAAAACTGCGTAGGATTTCGAGGGTATGTGTATTCACCAAAAATGATTGTAATTGACACTCGCAACCAGAAATAATTTTTTCGGAACGATTTGAAATTTTTTAAGTTTGTCGAAACATTTGTCCACCTTCCTGAATTTTTTTCTCGACAATGCGAAGGATTTTGGTGATATGTCTGTTGACCAAAAATGATGGCAATTGATCACTGCAACTGAAAATATTTTTTCCACAACGATTTGAAATTTTTGAATTTACCCGAAAAATTTACCGGTCGGTATGGAACTTTAAACGTGAATAACTTTTTAACGAAGCCTTAATCAACAAATTACTACTCTTGATTTTCGTCTTATTTTGGCCTCTAGAATGTCCCATTAAAATTTTGTCAAGGAGTGACCGAATACCCTATACAGGGTGTCCCGTAAATAGTGTAAGAAACGGAAATGGGGGGTAGGTGAGACAATTCTAAGCAACAATTTCCTTTGCAAAAATGTCGGATGGGGCTTCGTTTTTGAATTATTAACGAAAAACACTGACCAATCACGGCGCTCGCCTTCCGCGCGCTCAGGGCCGTCCGACCTCGGAGAGCCACCGCGCCGGGTAGGTAGCAAGATGCGCGTTGAAAATACATCGAGGAACGAGTACAAATAATTAAAAATACTACCACTGCAACTGTTACCTAATTCGTGAATTACTACGTAATTAGTACGTAAATTACTAAATGGAATTTACTTTTTATTAATTATTTGTATTCGCTGTTTCCAAGGAAGAAGGAATAAAATCTCGGAATTTTTAGAAAATTAACCCTTCGCACCCGAGTGACGCTTCTCGCCAGAGTGTTTTAAAATTAAAATAAGAATTATTATCAGAAAATTAAAATAAATACGGTAAGAACCATTTGTAACCGTTTGTTATTAAAAACTGTACTGAAAAAGCAGACTGGATTTCTGCGTACCGAAACATTCCTCGAATGCAAAGGGTTAATAGAGAAATAATTGAAATTCGACTTACCCATTCATTTGCAAGTTGACCTACTGCGCTGACAATAGGGCCCGGCCAATGCACCGCTGTCGATCACGGCAAGGTCGAAGACCCGAACGAAAATCAGCTGATGGGCCAGCCCGGTCACTGTACCTGCTTCTCACCCCGAAAACACTTCACAGCACGGTCACTAACAATTTTCATTTTCACTTTTCACTTTTGCATACCGATGCGTTCCGTTGCACCCTTCTTCGATTGTTGCTTCTTCCTGGGTTGATAACGGTGCCTGGATGTTGCTCCCTCCTGAATTGTTACTCCTTCCTGAATTGTTGTTCCTTCCTGGATTGTTGCTTCTTCGAACCTTGCTCCCTTCAGGATTGTTGTTCTTTTTCGCTGGGATAATGGGCACGATACGTGCGGGCGGCTTTCTTCGCGTTCCCCTTGGACTCCGCGAAAACGAAGAACGTATGATAATACTCGGCGTTTACGCGTTCCATCGCGTGCGTCCGCTTCTGTTCAGAAACGCGTAGGTTCTGTGAAAAATTTTGACTGACAAATTGCATTTCCCTCCCCGAAAAAGTTCCAGGTAAGGCAACCTATTGTCGCGCGATTCGGAATTACCTGCGATCGGCGAACGTGCAGACCATGCTTTTGCCGTGTATCGTACAAAGCCAAACGTCTCTTCGGCTAGTTGACCCTGGCGGAGTTATTTTTTTATTACTGCAAAACTGCCGCAAATGTTTGCTGCTAACCGTGCGTTCGACTCTTCTATTCGAATTTTTATGATTCACCGTGAATATTTTTGTACACAAAACATATTTAATTGTACAACAAAAATATTTAACGAAAATATTAAAAAATATTTCTTCTTGGAATTTTTATTTCAGAAATAAAAACTAGAAGAAATATTATTTAATATTTATGTTAAATATTTTTGTTTTTTGTTGCTCCAATATTTTTTATTATCGCATATTATCTATTATGTAACTGCCTCCTTCTTTGTGGATTATTTTTTATAAACAATACCTTTTTATTTTATACTCTTAAAATTTAAAAGCATGGAATTTTTCATGGTATATTCTTCTTTCTTTTTTACAACAAATTTTCCATGAAAAAATATTCACGGTGAATCATAAAAATTCGAATAGAAGAGTCGAACGCACGGTTAGCAGCAAACATTTGCGGCAGTTTTGCAGTAATAAAAAAATAACTCCGCCAGGGTCAACTAGCCGAAGAGACGTTTGGCTTTGTGCGATACACGGCAAAAGCATGGTCTGCACGTTCGCCGATCGCAGGTAATTCCGAATCGCGCGACAATAGGTTGCCTTACCTGGAACTTTTTCGGGGAGGGAAATGCAATTTGTCAGTCAAAATTTTTCACAGAACCTACGCGTTTCTGAACAGAAGCGGACGCACGCGATGGAACGCGTAAACGCCGAGTATTATCATACGTTCTTCGTTTTCGCGGAGTCCAAGGGGAACGCGAAGAAAGCCGCCCGCACGTATCGTGCCCATTATCCCAGCGAAAAAGAACAACAATCCTGAAGGGAGCAAGGTTCGAAGAAGCAACAATCCAGGAAGGAACAACAATTCAGGGAGCACAACAACAATTCAGGAGGGAGCAACATCCAGGCACCGTTATCAACCCAGGAAGAAGCAACAATCGAAGAAGGGTGCAACGGAACGCATCGGTATGCGAAAGTGAAAAGTGAAAGTGAAAATTGTTAGTGACCGTGCTGTGAAGTGTTTTCGGGGTGAGAAGCAGGTACAGTGACCGGGCTGGCCCATCAGCTGATTTTCGTTCGGGTCTTCGACCTTGCCGTGATCGACAGCGGTGCATTGGCCGGGCCCTATTGTCAGCGCAGTAGGTCAACTTGCAAATGAATGGGTAAGTCGAATTTCAATTATTTCTCTATTAACCCTTTGCATTCGAGGAATGTTTCGGTACGCAGAAATCCAGTCTGCTTTTTCAGTACAGTTTTTAATAACAAACGGTTACAAATGGTTCTTACCGTATTTATTTTAATTTTCTGATAATAATTCTTATTTTAATTTTAAAACACTCTGGCGAGAAGCGTCACTCGGGTGCGAAGGGTTAATTTTCTAAAAATTCCGAGATTTTATTCCTTCTTCCTTGGAAACAGCGAATACAAATAATTAATAAAAAGTAAATTCCATTTAGTAATTTACGTACTAATTACGTAGTAATTCACGAATTAGGTAACAGTTGCAGTGGTAGTATTTTTAATTATTTGTACTCGTTCCTCGATGTATTTTCAACGCGCATCTTGCTACCTACCCGGCGCGGTGGCTCTCCGAGGTCGGACGGCCCTGAGCGCGCGGAAGGCGAGCGCCGTGATTGGTCAGTGTTTTTCGTTAATAATTCAAAAACGAAGCCCCATCCGACATTTTTGCAAAGGAAATTGTTGCTTAGAATTGTCTCACCTACCCCCCATTTCCGTTTCTTACACTATTTACGGGACACCCTGTATACGTTCTTTGGGCCCGCTAGACAGCCTTCTCCCATTCTTCCGTCTAGCAAACGCGCCACACAGTATTAGAAGAAACATTGTGTAGAATGAAACGATGGGAGAATAGTTTGGAAATATTAAAGTTTGGACTGGAGATTCTGAGAATGTTATCGCTCTACCTCTGCAACTTAAAATTATCAATGGGTCAAAGAAACCTTGTGTCTTCGATTAATAAATAATAAATAAAAAATGATCAGAAGCTAGAAACCATTTTTCAAAGTAATTCTAAGACAGAATGAATATTTTTCTAGGATCAGAAGTTAGAAACGGTAAGTTTTCACTATATTTACATGGAATCTCAATTTTAAATAATTTACTCACCGGTTAGCGTTCCATTGTGGTCTAGACTCGATGCTGGTCCTCGGCTGGGATTTCGACCGGGGAAAGGCTTTCATACTTATTTCCCCAGTTGTCGCGCCACTTAAACATTCCCCGAATCAAGATTTAAAGCTCTGTTATTAATAATAATTATACCTTTGAATATATTTATTATATAAAGAAACCGTAAGAGAATTTCAGCAAAGAAGAAATGAAGTAATTAGTAATTTCACTAATTCTCCAGTCATTATAAGATTTTAAAGCTCTGTTATAATAAATGCCTTCCATTCGCTAAATAGAATAATATCTACGATTCTAAAAGCTTCCCAGCAATTAATAATGTAGTTTTTACTCACTTTTCAGTGCCCCTCTTTCCAGCATCCCTAGTTTCCCCTCGTAGAGCCAGCGTAGAGACATCTAAATCAGTTTGTGTTCCAAAGTCTCGACCAATCGCTGCTCTGAACTTCGTAGGAGTAACCAATCGCCTCTCAAACACCGTCGATGGGAAATTCAAGCCTCCGCACAGTTTGTTTTCGAAGTTTCTTGGCGTAGGGGTGAGAACAAGGTTCACGAATTGAAGATTTGTTCCGTTGAGGAGCTCCGAGTCCTCCAGTCTGCCACTCAGCACTATCGCCACGTCCTTGCTTACAGGAACTTGCAGCGACTTTGTTTCATTTGTGTCTTTCTCTAATTCTTGTGCGCCATTCTGATTAGTCTTGTCGTCTCTGTCGTCAACGTTTGGAGTTTTTTTACACTGAATGCGACTCGAATCAATCGAACGGAAGTTTATGGTGGAATTGGAATTTTCTTCGTTTGGAGATTTGTTTTTGCGTAGAATCTTTTTCTGTTCTTTTGCTAATCGTTCTGCAGCTTCTAAGACCTCTCGCATGGCCTCGGATTCTTTCAGTTTGGCTGCATCCCTCTCTCTTTGCCTTCTCTGTTCCTCGTCGAACCTGACGAAAGTAGAATCGAAAGATTCAGAACGGTATTTTGCAATGAAAGTCCAAGATTCATTGGAAGTTTTTAGTTTATGAATTGGGGAAAAGGGAATTAGGGAATTCTAGGTCCGGAAATCGCTAAAATAGAATAATTTCACAATTTTCTTCATAAAAAGGAATTCTAAGAAAATAGTAGTCGTAGAAAAACGGTAATTGAAACAGTAGAATGATAGAATTCAAATTGAAAAAATTAGGAATCGTATGGTTTCAGAACTTAAATTCCTCTGCGTTTCGAATTCAATTTCAATAACAATAATAATACCTTTCTTTTTCCTTTTCCCTTTCTCGTTTTATCCGTTCTTCCTCCAAACGTTCTTCCTCCAACTTCCTTTCTTTTTCTTCTTTCTTCATTCGATTTTTCTCTTCGAGTTGCCGTTTAATCGCAGTCTGAAGCTCCAAAGCTTTCTGCCTTTTAATTTCTCGTTCCTGGAGAACGTTGGCGTCGACAGGAATATTCTGCCCTCGTAGATAAGTTTTTTCGCATCCAGTGGAACCAACCGTTGAACTGTCCGAACTACTTGCGCTCTCGTGGTTGATAACCAAAACCTGCGACGGAAAGGAAAATTGAAGGCGACGCTCTGTTCGATAGAAGTATTTAGTTTCAGTATTCGTCTCATACAGGAAGGATGATTGGAAAAACGAAAGAGCTGTCGATTGCAGTACGAAGCGAAATTATTTTTGTCCGTAAACGGAGCGAAAGTTATCGCAAAACCGGAGAAATCTTAAAAATTAGTTTCTCCACGGTTAGAAATGCTGTTAAAAAGTATGAGGAGTTTGCCACGACAGAAAACAGACCGCGATTAGGCCGACCGAAAGTTTTAACAGTGATAGAACGACGCAACATTGTTAAAGAAGTCAGAAGTGTTGGATTTCTTTATTGTAATTTTGTACATCGCACCTCGCTTCCAAAAACGCTTCTCCTCTTTTTTCCCGATCGCGCACACCTTTTGTTTCTTCTCACCAATCATACCCACTCATCATTCATACCAACCCAGCAAAAGCTAGATATTTTCACACCCTTCCTCAATTCAAATCGCAACGATGAGAATTGCTAATCAAGCATTTGCAAGTTGTCTCTATGTTTTATAAACAGCTTTGACACCAGTGATTTTGTTAATATGTCCGCAGTGTTTTTGTTTGTCTCTATATAATCTAAAATTATGAAACCCCTATTAACTAAATCCTTGATATAATGATACTTAATATCTATGTGCTTGCTCCGCTTGCTGTTTTCGTAGTTCCTTGCAATATTGATCGCTCCTTGATTGTCGACAAGCAGTGTTGCATCTATTTCCTTTTTGCACATCTCTACAGCAATTCCTTTTAATGATATTAGCTCGGCAGAGATTAGAGCAGCAGCAACATATTCGGCTTCTGTCGATGACAGGGCAACGCTTTGCTGCTTTCTTAAGCATTTATTCTTCGTTCCTTTCAGATATCTGAGTATTCTCTTTGCAGCATTCCATGTAGTTTGACTCGGTTTGTCAAGAAACCTGCTCAGATATGACACTGCAAATGTAATATCAGGCCTTGAACCCATTGAAATGTACATTAGACCTCCTATTAACTCTCGGTAAGGTACATTTTCTGCGCATTCGTTCCCTTCTGCTCGAAAGTTTGCTTCCATAGGAGTTGAGGCCTCCTTGCATTGCTCCATTCCGAAGTTTGTCAACATTTTGTTGATTAGAGTTTCTTGAGAGATCTTGATTGTATTTTCATCTCTAAATATTTGCATTCCGAGAAAATTTTTGATTTCTCCCAAATCTTTTGTGTGAAATTCTAATTTCAATGGCTGTATTATCTGATTGATTGCTGTTCCCGTTATCAATATGTCGTCTACATATACCAACATTATTGTTCTGCCTTTTGTGTACAGACAGAAGTCACTTTTGGATCTGTTGAATCCGTGTTTAATGGCAAAGTCATTAAACGTCTTGTTCCAGCATTTTGGTGCTTCTTTGAGACCGTACAATGCTCTTTTAAGTTTGAGCACCGTTCCTTTCTCTTCGTTTAAACCTTGAGGTGGTTTGATATATACCTCCGATTGAAGTCGTCCATTTAGAAATGCTGTTGGTATATCCATTTGATTTATTTTCCAGCCATTTTGTAGAGCGATCGAAAACAGCATCCTCACTGTCGAGAGTCTAGCTACCGGTGCGTACATAGACTCCTCTTCATGTAGTTGGTATCCTTTAGCGACCAACCTTGCCTTTTTGATACCTTGTTCTTTGGTTCTGAATATCCACTTTGTATCGATAGCTTGAACTCCTTTGGGCAGCATTGTTTTTTCCCAAGTTCCCAGCTTTTTGTGAGCTTCTAGCTCTTTGTCTATTGCTATTTTCCATTCTTCTTGTTGTACTGCTTCATTGTAAGTTTTGGGATCGGCGTTGGCCAATAAACAGTAACTCATATACACCTGATAGTCTTTTAAGTGACTAGGTGCTTTCCTAGCTCTTCTTGTTCTGTTTGTATTCTGTGGTAATTCTTCATTCTTCTCTTCTTCATTCTCTTCTTCTTCAGTAATGTTTTCTTTTTCTTCATCTGGTTTATTCTCTTCTCCCAGTTGTTCATTTTTCTTTTCTTCTTGCTGTATTTCTTCATCTATTCTTATTGTTTCTTTTTTCAGTTGATTTTTCCTTTCATCAAACTTTACGTCTCTCACTGAGATAATCTTGTCCGTCGATGGGACCCACACTCTATATCCATTATCGCAATATCCTACCATTCTTCCTTCTACTGCTCTGTTTTCAAATTTTCCTGTTTTTGGTAATATGTATGACCATGTTTTGCATCCGAATACTCTTATTTTTCCTAAATTCACATGACCATACCATCTTTTGGCTGGTATGTCTTCTTTGAGAGCACTTGTAGGAGATCTGTTCAACAGAAATGCAGCTGTCCTTGTTGCTTCTCCCCATATATTCCTCGGTAGATCATTTCCTGACATCATTGCTCTGGCTTTGTCCAGTAACGTTCTGTTCATCCTCTCGCTTACCCCATTCTGTTGTGGTGTGTAAGGGATGGTACTTTGTATCCTTATTCCTTTAAGATTACAGAAATTTTTTAATTCTACATTTAGGAACTCTTTTCCATTATCACAGCGTATTTTGTACACTTTGTTTCCAAATTGTGCTTTGATTCTTTGTACATAGTTTTTTATATTATTAACTGCTTCATCTTTGCATTTTAACAAGTACACTGTTGTGAAGTGAGTATAATCGTCGATAATTGTCTGAAAGTATCTCTCACCATTGATGGTTGGTGGATTTATTGGTCCACAAAGGTCAGTGTGGAGCAATTCACCAGTCCTGCGTGATCGAGGATATTGACAACTCATAAATGGCACTCTTGTGAACTTACCCTCTGTGCATGTTTCACAATCATTCTCATCCACTGGTAATTCCATTATCTTCATTCCTTTTCTATTCAGGTGACCCATTCTTCTATGCCATAATGATGAATCGTTCTCCGCTCCATATGCTACATTCCTCTCATTTCTTATTTTGAACGTCATTGTGTATATTTTCCCTTCCTTCTTTGTAACCAAACTCACGTTCTTACCTTTTATTTTTGTTATGTCTTCATCGAAGGTGATGGTGAAGCCTCGTTTTGTCAATTGGTTCACTGACAGCAGATTGTGACTTAAATTTTTTACGATAAGAGCTTCTAAGCATATTCTTTTTCCTTTATATAATAGCAACAGTTTTCCTTTTTTCTTTGCTTTTAATATATCATCATTTGCTGTTCTTATTAAGATTTCTTGAGAAATCATTTCCACGGATTTCATACTTTTCTCTAATTCATCATTTACTAGATGCTCAGTGGCACCCGAGTCGATGACAAATGTCACTGTTTTTTCTTCGCACTTTGTTTCCAAACATATATTATTTTCATTCATTGCTAGAAACGTTATATCATCATTATGTGAAACCATCTTTGCGTGACTTGGTTTGCCTCTTTGACTGAAACGCGTTTTTCCTCCTCTGCTTTCATACTTGTTTTCTCTGTGTTTGTTGGGACACTCATAGCTTTTGTGACCCTTTTTTCCACACCCGAAACATACCAGGAAACTTGTTTCTTTTTCCACGACTGTTGCAGATACATCTTCCCTTTTCAGTTCATATTCTAGCAGTCTAGTCTTCACGAAATCCAAAGTAACACTTGTCGTCATCGTTTCAATAGCGGTGACTACATTGTCGTAACTGGCTGGTACCGTTATTAGCAAATGACACACTTTGTCATCTTCCTCAATTTTTCTTCCTGAGGCTGATTCGAGATCTCTTATCAATGAGTCGAATTTAACGAAATGTTGTTCCAATTTTTCATTTTCTTTTAGCTTTAATGATAATAACTTCTTTTTTATGTATATTTTAGTGAATACACTTTTCCTTTCAAAGACATTCTGTAATGCGTTTATCATATCACTTGCATGTTCTTTGTCTTTCACATATTCTAAGTGCTTATCAGTTATGCACTGTATTATGATGGCTTTAGCTACACTATCATCTTTAGTGTAAGTGGCACCTGTGGGATCAGGATCTTCCACGACTTTTCTTACCCCTCTTTCTTCCAATATTGCCAGCACCCTAAATTTCCAGTTTGAGAAATGTTCTCCATCGAACAGTGGCAAATATTTAGTAGTTGTTTGTAACATTTTTGCTTTCGTGTATTTTTACGATAACGATATAACCTTACTTTTCCTTTTCTGACGCCACGTGGATACTGGGCCCATCAGTGTGGCCCAGTGTGGCCAGATCTGGCATAATTGAGTGCATCGAAATCGACAACAGTGACGACGAACTTCCTTAGCGTCTAACGGAATGGTGGGGATAGCAGGCTACACTACCGCACGAGCCACGTGTACGTGAGCTCGGCACTTCGCACAACTTCGGTAAATCGATAAAGAACGGCAGTGTGAGCCTTTCCTTCTTGCTCTTGTAAAAGAGAAACAGCTGAAATACGACCTCGCGATAATCGGCATACGATTCCAAGTCTCGACTGCCCCAGCATTTTTACTTTCCGACCTATATGTAAGGTATAAGGAAATTTATAAAGTATCACAATGAAAAAAAATTTTGAAATTTTTTTTTAGCGAAAATACACGTTTTAGGACCCCCTGATCATATTGTGACTATTGAAAAAAAAGACATTTTTTTTGTTCCTCACCGACTAACAATAAGTGAATTTCAATAACGAAAAAAATATTTCGAAATTTTTTTTTAGCGGAAATACACGTTTCAGGACCCCCTCATCATATTGTGACTACTACAAAAAAACATATTTTTTTTTGTTCCTATGCTATTGACATGATTGTGTCTAAACGGCTGAATGAATTTCAATGAAACTTAACATTTAAGTTTTATGTTCTCGTTTTAAGGTCTCATTATATTTTAAGCGTGATCAGTTCCCATATAATGATGATTATACGTCTGTAGTTTTATAATTATTTCGATAGATATACATCATTTGTAACAAATTTTTAAAGCGATTTATATAAATCTTAAGAAGGATTAAGATCAAATATACTTTTCTCCTATCTTTCCTAG